GCAGCCAAAATGAGGACACAAAGAAACAGGTCCCAAATGAAAGAACAGAACAAAACCCCAATAAAAGAACTAAGCGAAATGGAGATAAGCAACCTAATAGATGCTGAGTTCAAAACACTGCTTATAAGGATGCTCAATGAACTTAGTGAGAACCTCAGTGAACTTAGTGAGGGCCTCAAGAGCATAAAAAAGGACCAGTCAGAAATGAAGGAGGCATTAACTAAAATAAAGAATAATTTACACAGATTCAATAGTAGAGTAGGTAAATCCAAGAAGCAAGACATCGATTTGGAACATAAAGAAGCAAAAAACATCTAATCAGAACGGCAAAAAGAAAAAAGAATACAAAAAAATGAGGATGGTGTAAGGAGCCTCTGGGACAACTTCAAGCGTGCCAACATTCGCATCTTGGGGGTGCCAGAAGGAGAAGAGAGAGAACAAGAAATTGAAAACCTATTTGAAACAATAATGGCAGAAAATTTCCCTAACGTGGTGAAGGAAACAGACACACACATCCAGGAAGCACAGAGAGTCCAAACAAGATGAACCCCAAGAGGCCCATATCAACATCAGAATGCAAAAGGTTCAAGACAAAGAGAGAATCTTAAAAGCAGCAAGAGAAATGCAGCTAGTTACCTACAAGGGAGTTCCCGTAAGGCTGTCAGCTGATTCCTCAAAAGAAACTTTGCAGGCCAGAAGGGAGTGGCAAGAAATATTCAGAGTGATGAAAAGCAAGAACCTACAACCAAAATTACTCTATCCTGAAAAGCTGTCATGTAGAATCGATGGCCATATAAAGACTTTCCCAGACAAGGAAAAGTTAAAGGAGTTCATCACCACCAAACCGTTATTATATGAAATGATGAAGGGTCTTTTTGAAGAAAAAGATAAAATATATGAACAAACAAAATGGCAATGAATACATAGCTATCAACAATGGAATCTACAAACAAAATGAACAGGCAGAACAGAAACATTCTCATAGATACAGAGAACATTTTGTTGGTTGCCAGATGGGAGGGGGGCTGGGGGAATGGGTGAAAAAGGTGAGGGGATTAAGAAGAACAAATTGGTTGCTAGACTGACAAACTTCAAAGAGAAGGGGGTTGGGGGGTGGGAAGAAATAAACCAAAGAATTTATATGCGTAACCAATGGACACAGACACCAGTGTGGGAAAAGGCAGGAGGAGGGCAGGGTGGGGAGGAGGGGGTCAGTGGGGGAAAATGAGGAACATCTGTAATACATTCAACAATAAAGATAAAAATAAAAAAATAAAATGAAGTGCACCGTAAACAACATAAATGACCTGATGTAATTAGGAAATAACAAAACACAAGGACAAAGGCAGGTGTGGTTGGCGCTGTGGCGCGGGGCTGGGAGCTGACAGAACGAAATGGGTGGAGGGGAGGATGGAGTCAGTGGGATAAAGGAAGGAGGGATGAGGAAGTCAGAGGACTTTTTAAAAAATGTTTTCATTGAGCCCTGGCCGGTTTGGCTCAGCGGTTAGAGCGTCGGCCTGCGGTCCAGAGGGACCCGGGTTCGGTTGCCGCTAAGGGCATGTACCTCAGTTGCAGTTTGTCCCCGGCCCTGGTTGGTTGTACGGGTGGCAGCCACTCCATGTGTCCCTTTCACATCGATGTTTCTCTCTCTCTCTTCCTCTCTTTCCCTCCCACTCTATCTGAACAAAAAAATGGAAAAAAAATAAAAAATGTTTTTATTGATTTTTAAAAATACATTTTTTCTTTATTTATTTTAGAGAGAGAGAAACATCGATTGGTCGCCTCCTGCGTGCCCCCCACTGGGGATCGGGCCCACAACCTGGGCATGTGCCCTGACCGGAAACTGAACCGGGACCTCGCAGCCCACGGGACCCTCCACCCACTGAGCCACACTGGCCGGGCACCAGGGGACTCGAGGGAGGCTCCCTGTGGCACGACCTCCAGCTTCGTCCCTAAAGACGGTGTGTGGATGCCGCAGTCCTGAGCCTGGACACCTCGTCGTCTTGGCCCCGTGTTCACAGAGGGCCCACTCCCCCGGGAAGGTCTCCTGGGAAGGTCTGCCGCTCGTTATTCCCGGGGTCAACGGCGTGACGTCAGCAGAGGAGCCCCAAGACAGCCACATCACCCGCCTGGCTGGACCCGGCGTGGTCCTGTGGGTGCTGCATCAGATGAAATGTCCTCTGTCTTGTCACTGAAATCACGTGTTCATAGAATGGGTTCGTAGGGCCACAAACACCCCTGCTGGCCCGCTGGCCGCTCGTCCTGGTCTGGGACATCGTGAGTCGCCTGCCGCAGGCGTGGTCCCGCCACAGCTCGGCCAGCAGACAGGCGCTTGGCGGGCACGCAGTGTGGTGGGAGGCCGGGGACAAGGGGCGTGGCCTGCCTAGGCGTCCGGCCAGCTCCAGGCAGGGCTGTGTGGCCACGCGGGCGGCACACAATGCCCCATTTATTCCGAGCCATGTCAATAAGAACCGCAGGGCCCGGGCCTGCAGGCCTGGCTCCCACGGCACCCACTGGCCAGGCTTCCGAGCTGCGGCTCCAGTCTGCGGGGGAGCGAGCGGACTCGGCGGTGCCGTCACTCACCGTGGGCTGCGTCAGGTTTTAGCCGTGGGAGCCCGGGTCTGGGCCTCGATGTTCTTGACCGTAGATCCTGCTCTGCTGGTCCGTGGAGTGAAAACTGTCCCGGCAGACGTCCCGGAGGAGAACGGTGGGGGCGGGTGAGAGCACCCACCTTGGGCTGCAGCCTGTGCAGACAGAATAGCCTCACAGAACATGCGGATCCGGCTCACTCAGGGAGATGGGGTGGGCGGACTGGGGAGGGACCTCACGGAGCACCCTGGCTCCCGGCGCGACGTTCCCCCTACGTCTGTCTTCTCGTCTGGAGAGGATACCAGCAGTCCGTTTAGGGCTCACCCTGATCCCATATGTTGTCATCTGAACTTGAATGACATCTGCAAAGACTCTATTTCCAAATCAGGTTGTGTTCACAGGTATGTAGGGGACACGGTTCAATCCACCACAGACGCCAGCTCCCTGGGCTGGGGCAGGGGTCCCCGCAAAGGCTCCCCGTCCGGCAGGAGGGTCCACAGGATCGGGAAGGCTGGGGCCCTTCCAGAGGATCAAGTTAGTTTATTTCTTTGTTTTTTATTTTTATCCTCACTCGAGGATATTTTTGCATTTGTCTTCAGATAGAGCAAGAGACCGGGGACAAACTGCAACCGAGGTACGTGCCCTTAGCGGGAACCGAACCCGGGTCTCTCTGGACCACAGGCCAACGCTCTAACCGCGGAGCCAAACCGGCCAGGGCGCATCACCTTAGTTTAGAAGGCAGAAGACGGGCTCTGAGCTTAGTCAGTAGCTGAATCTACAAAAGGTAGATAGGTCTACACAAAGCAGATCTTATAAAAATAATCATGCCGCCCTGGCCGGTTTGGCTCCAGAGAGTCCTGGGTTCAGTTCCTGCTAAGGGCACATACCAAAAAAAAAAAATCATGCTGCCCGGCCGGCGTGGCTCTGTGGATGGAGCGTCGTCCCAGGGTCCGAGAGGTTCCTGTTTGATTCCTCGTCAGGGCACATGGCCGAGTTGAGGGCTTAATCTCCAGTAGGGGACGTGCAGGAGGCAGCCGATGGATGTTTCTCTCTCACATCGATGTTTCTCTCTCTCTCCCTTCCTCTGTAAAAAAAAAAAAATCAATAAAAATGTATTTACATAAACAATAAAAATAATCATGCATCCATCAGAAAAGGGTTGGTTTTGATGCCCAGGTTGGCCCTGCTCCAAACCAACTTTTCTTTAGAGAGAGATGGAGGTCCCGGCCCCCCCGCAGCACCAAGGAGACACCCACCATTCCATCGGCTCAGAGTCCCAGCCTCTGCGGCCTCAGGCCTCCCAGGGCACAGGCCTGCAGGGGTGCAGCTGCCTGGCCCGAAGCTGCCACCTCACGCCCTGGTGCAGGGTGCTTCAGGCTGCAGGGACAGAGCATCACACCACATCCCTGCCCCACTTCACCTTCAAATAAATTGGTTACCGGGGGTGGGGGGGCCCTGCCACTGTCATTGCCTAAATCCTTCCCCCAACCCTGCCCCCTTCCTCCCTCCCTGTCCAATCATTGGGGTTCCTGCCAGGCATCTCCCCCCAAGACAGGCTTCTTCATGAAGCCAGACCCCAAGGGGGAGCTGCCGGATGTGCATTCGACATTCAGTTCATGGCCCGGGAGGTGAGGTTGGGGACAAAACAACACGAGCTGGTCCCTCCACAGCAACGACCACTTACTCAGTGCTGACTATAGTCCAGCCGTTCATCCCCTGTCCCTTTAACCTGTGCGACGCGAAGGGTCAGGGACAATGGATGCAGGCTCCGCGGCCGGCTGCATGGTGACTTCTTGAAGGGAACCCAGGAGCCCGGCTCTCCTTGGTGTGACTCGTGCAGGACTTCCCTCCAAAGAGCAGATTGAATTTAAAACCTGCCCTCGGACACGCTGACCGGCAACAATCCATGCGTAGGGGCTCGCTAAATAAATCACCACCCGGGTGCAGGACACCAGGCGGCCATGGAGAACCATGTCTTCCGATTATCACAAGGAATTCACAGTAGTGACTATGCGGGAGCGAGGCTCATGGAGCACCATGGAGGACAGGGTCCCATGGACTTGAGACACACACCCATGGGGACAGGGTCCAGAGCACTCACCCACATGGACCAAGGCACGGTGTCCTGTAGTTCTTACAATAAGCATTTATGGTTTTTACAAAATCACCGAAGCTATCCCTTTTTTATTTTTTTTATTTATTTATTTATTTATCCTCACCCGAGGACATTTTTCCATTTTTTTTTTTTTTTGTTCAGGTAGAGCGGGAGGGAGAGAGAGGAAGAGAGAGAGAGAGAAACATCAATGTGAAAGGGATACATCGAGCGGCTGCCACCCGCACAACTGACCAGGGCCGGGGACAAACTGCAACCGAGGTACATGCCCTTAGCGGGAACCGAACCCGGGTCTCTCCGGACCGCAGGCCGACGCTCTAACTGCTGAGCCAAACCGGCCAGGGTTATCCCTTTTTTTAAATGTAAAAAGCACCAAGTTATCTTTAGCAGAGACTGTGTGTGGCACAGCTCAGTGTTCCTCCCCGAACAGCACAGAAACCATCGAGGTCAGAGCCACCGGGGAGACGCCTCCGACTCTCCCCACAACCTGGGAAGGTGCTGGGCCGACACCCTGCTCCTTCCTCTCCCGCGCTCTGTCTTTCTGGAAGGCTCTCTCCAAAGCACTCTCTATAAAGCGCTCACTCCACAGGAGACCAGAGGGAATGTATCAATCACCCAGAGGAGCCAGCCAGGCCCGCCAGTAAGCTTCCACGTCCGAGTCCCCCTTCGTCCCCCTGGCAGGGTGGCATCCGGCCTCACAATGACAAGAACCTCCTGCGAGACTCTCCAAACGCCGGCCGCCCTCGGTGGCCCAGTCAGGCCTTCAGCAGGGCGACCCTGTGCCCCGGGACGGAACCGGCACTGGGGTTGTAGGGCTGGGTCCCCGGTTCTTGACTCAGGTGCTTCTCTGCAGAGAACCAAGTGGTGAACAGAGGGAAGTGAGGCCGGGTCAGCTCACAGAACGGGGTTCAAGGCGGGATTCAGGGCCCTGGGGCCGCCTCCACACCCTCATCACCTCGCCCCTTCCCGCACCGGTGACCCTCTGGTTGGTGGCGGCCCCGTGTGCCATCCGCCTGCCTCCTTCCAGCAACCGCATGAGACTCGGACACCATGCTGGGCCGAAGTCAGACAAGAAGGGTCCTGGGGCCCATTCACAGGATGCTCCGGAAGAGGGAGAACCAACGGTGTTGGAGGAGACAGGGACGGGCTGCCCCTCGGGGGGCTCCCTGGAGGTATGTTCTACATCCTGCTCGGTGGACGCCCCGAGGGACCCACCTATTCGAGCCTCAATCGTGGTTTAAGATCTGTGCATTCCTCTGTGGACCTCAGCGTAAGACACACACACCTCCGAAAATCACAACCCCAGCGCCAGGGGCCCAACCACCCATCATCCTCGATCCCACAGTTGGACCCCGGCTGCCGGCCCTCCTGCCGCCCTGACCCCTCGGGTGTGAGCAGAGGGCTGCCGGCTCTTCCAGTGACCTGCCTACACCCACCTGCTTCCTCCAGGGTGGGGAAGTGCTGGACACCCTTCAGGTCAGCGGACAGCAGGACACGGAGGACAGGCCCCTGTGGGATGAAAATGTCAGCACCAGGCGGGGCCGCCCACAGTCTCTGGGGATCCCCCCATTCAGGAAAATGGAGAGACAACCAGGCCCCGGGAATGGTGCTGAGAAATGTTTTCAAATAAGTACCCTCCAGGCCACACGCAGACGTGTGTCCTGCAATGTTCTGCGAACAGACACAGTGCCACGGTCACGAGCAAAGCTCTGCGGACAGACACCCCGAGTCGGATGTGGGTCTACGACCCTCGCTGTGTGACCCTGGGCAAGTGACTCAGCTTCTCTGGGCCTCGGCACCCTCATCCCGACACAAGGATGGTGGTGAGACTGACCGCACAGGCTGGCCCAGAGTGGCGGGCGCCAGCCGTGTGGGGACACCCACCTGCAGGCCGACGAAGGCGAGGGTGACGCCCTGCCTGCGGAAGTCCCCCAGGAGCTCCCCGAGTCCCAGTACCACAGTGTAGTCGACGCTGCAGACGTGGCTGCAGTCCAGGATGGCGCAGCGTGGCGGGGACGCTGCGGGGACAGGCGCGGGCGGGTCACACCTCCAGGGCAGCGCGGGGCCTCAAGAGCCCCGATCCCAGCAGGCGGGGAGGATGGGGCCGCGGCCGTAACAGCAGTTTCCCTCACAGAGGGAACTAGAGCCCTTCTCCCGAACACGACTCCCGGGAGAAGGTGCAGGCCTCAGGGACACATGCTGGGGAAACACCACCCCTGCCCCGAGCAGACGGGACCACCCCCTGGGATGAGGCACAGAGCCGGCCAGGGGAGCTCCCGAGACAACCTCCTGAACTCGCGGGGAGCTGCTCCCTGACAGCGAGGGCAGGGTTGTGGGGAGCAGGCTGTGTGCAGAGGGGGTAGCGGGGAGCTCGGGGCGACCCAGCCGGCCCTGCCCCACGGACCTTGCAGAGCCTGGGTCACCAGCGCCTCCCGGAGGGCCTCGATGGCGGGGAAGTGCAGGCCACTGGCAGGCTGCAGGACCAACACCGGACGCTCTGACACCTGGGGGGGGGGCAGAGAGTGCTGGAGGCAGTCGGATGGGGTGCGGTGCCAGGCTGGGGGAACAGGTGCAGAGTGGAGGGAGCCTCATCCCACCCATTGCCTCCTGAACAGGCCCTCAGCACGGCCTCGGGCACAACCACCCTGAGGGCTCAGAATGCAGAGCCCAGGGCCCGCCCAGGCGGCGGGTACCTGCATCTGCGGCCTGGCCACGGCGTGCAGCAGCAGCAGCACGGACACCAGCGTCCCGGCCAGGATGCCGTACTGCACCTCCCAGAGGCAGAACAGGAAGGTGACGCAGAGGGGCAGCAGGTCCAGCCCTGCGACAGAGGTGCCCGCTGAGCCCTCCTCCGAACTCAGCCCCCCTGCTGCCAGCACACCTCGCGGCTCTGCAGGTACCGGGTGCCGGTGTCACAGGCCCCAGCCAGCCCCGGGGACCTCAGGCTGGGGACGCGGGACTTGGACCTAGCTGCTGCTGGCCATGCCGGCTCAGGGACACGTCGGAGCAGAAACCTGCCCCCGCCTGGGCTGAGGGGTAGCGCAGACCTGCCCTTGAGAGGAAGCCTACAGGCACCAAGGAAGAAGGGACTTGGGGACAGGGCCAGGACTGGGAAGTGAGGGGCCGAGAGACCACGTGCCCCCTCCCAGGTCACGTGGACCTCCTCAGCCGAGACTCGTGACTTCTCTGAGCTGCTGAAGGAGGTGTGCTGGGCAGGTGGGGGTCAGTCCCAGACGTAACCCACAGAGGTCCTGAAGGCCCGTCACACAAAAGGCCGGACTGGTCAGGCTCCTCCCCTTGATGACCCCTGGTGGGCGGGGCTGACGAGATGACAACCACACAAACTGCCTAATTCCCTTATTGCTGGGGGAACAAAAACTTGTTACATTAAAGGAACTGCTGGTTCAGCTGTTACTCAGGACTCTGCTGGGCATCCCTGATGGGTATCCTGCCCCCAGCGGGGGAAGGGAGAGCGAGGGGCAGGGGGAGGGGAGGGAGCGGGGAGGGGAGGGAGGAGGGGGGAAGGTGAGAACCGGGGAGCTGCTTTAAGATGCTCTGGGAGGCCTGAGGATCTGAAGGGGGCAGGCTGACCCATGGCCCCCAGTGACACCTCCTAGAACGATGTGAACCTCCAGCTCCAACCCGGCCACAGGGGTTCGGAGGAGATGGCGGGGGAACCCTGGGGACCTCGTGCTGACAGAGGAACCACGTACTCTTCACGCGCCAGAGCGCCCTGACGATCTTGGTGTCGAACAGGGGGGCCACGGCCGTGATGATGACAGCCGCCAGGGCGGCCTTGGGGATGTAGTAGAAGAGCGAGGTCAGGTAGGCGAGTGCCAGCAGCACCAGAACCCCTGCAGGGCGGGGACACCGCTGACCTGGGCTGCCCGAACCCCGGGGGCGAGGGGCCCACCTGGGGGACACCGCTGACCTGGGCTGCTGCCCGAACCCCAGGAGCGAGGGGCCCACCTGGGGGACACCGCTGACCTGGCTGCTGCCCGAACCCCAGGAGCAAGGGGCCCACCTGGGGGACACCGCTGACCTGGGCTGCCCGAGCCCCGGGAGCGAGGGGCCCACCTGAGGGACACCGCTGACCTGGCTGCTGCCCGAGCCCCGGGAGCGAGGGGCCCACCTGGGGACACCGCTGACCTGGGCTGCCCGAACCCCGGGGGCGAGGGGCCCACCTGGGGACACAGCAGGAGCCAACCCACTGCACTGTGGTCTCCCCACCCCATGTCACTGCCTCGGCACAATGGGGCTGTGAGTGGGGTGCTCACCTGTCACCAGGCCCCCCGCTGGGGTGCACACCCCGGACTGGGCGTTCACGGCCGTCCTGGGGAGCAGCACAGAGACCCGTTAGTGGCAATCAGAGCAGGGAGGTGTCGGTGCACAGAGGCAGCTGGTCTCCGGGGACAGGGGTGCCTGAGAGGGACCATCGGGCTCCCCCAAGGCTTAGCAGCACAATGCAGCTTTGAGGTTCCTTCACCGAAGGGAGACAGCCCGGACCTTCTAAATAAGCCTGAAACAACCCAACGGCACTCCTGAGAGGGATCTGCAAACCACGCACCCAAGAGGGTCTGCAGACTCAACCCCCTGCTGCAGCCGAGCTGTGCCCCCCCACCCGCTGTGCCCCCACCGAATGGTGCGGCCCCTGCAGCTCAGGAGCAGCGGTGCTGGAGAGAGGGCCCAGCCGGTGTGGCTCAGTGGTTGAACCCCGACCCGTGCACCAAGATTCCTGGTCAGGGCACGTGCCCGGCTGTGGGTCAAATCTTCAGTGGGGGGCGTGCTGGAGGCAGCCAATCAATGTTCTCTCTCATCGATGTTTCTCTCTCTCTCTCCCTCTCCCTTCCTCTCTCTCAAAAAAAAGAAATCAATTAAAAAAAACCCTGTTTTCAAAAAGACAAGGCCCTCGTCCGCTCTGCTGTCCCCTAGGAGAGATCAGGACACAGAGACACCGGGATGGACACAGAGGGACGACCATCTGCCGGCAGCTGCTGCCAGCCAGCCTCCGGGGAGTACGCAGAGGGCCGTGGGTGACGCCGCCACCGGCGGTGCTGTTACAGCGACCTGTCAACTAGCACACGCGACGACGGGGTCCCGCTGCCCTTAGCAAGGGTGATGGGAGTTGGCTTTTACGGACAGATGCTGACGGAGCTGTCATGTGGGGGGATCCTGTTAACCGCCCCCGTCACCTCCGTGGACACACACTCAGCCACGAGGACACCAAGCCCTCCCCGTGCGGCTTCTCCAGGTGGCCCGGACAGGAATTCTGATTCCTTCGAGACGTCGCCACGCGGCCTGTCTGGGCAGCCGCGTCCAGGCCAATGTCAGCGCTCTGCCGGAGCTGGCCTTTGCCACCACGAGGACACCAGGGAACCGTGGCGTGACCCCGACAACACAGGACTGCCCTGCACATGCCTGCAACACCCCAACCGTGACCTTGGGCCAACTGTGTGTCCTCTGGAAATGCAGCCCGTGTGTCCACGCGTGCCCACGGGAAGCCCTCCCCAAGTCACCGTTCGCCGGCTGGGGGAGCGGGGTCTGGGAGCCAGACAGGACCCGCTGGCCTGCGCCGGGGCCTCCCCAGCGGGCACTCACCGTCCAAAGCTGCCGGTGACCGGGAAGGAGGACACGAAGGAGCCCAGAACGTTGGTGAGGCCTGGGAATGGAACGGGACAATGTTCGGGAGGGGAGACAGGTGGGAGGCGGAGGATAAAGCAGAGGGAAACAGGAGACGGGGGGAACCCCGGGGGACGTCCCACTGCTAATGGGAAGGACAAGGATGAGCTCCCTGCCGTGGTCTCTTGCTCTTCTGAGTGGCCTGTGAGTTACATGCACCTCCTCCCCACGCGTGACGGAGAGGAGCCCCTCCCAGGAGGAGCGGCCGAGTAAGTTCAGAGCTGGGCCCCGAGTGCCGGGCAGTCCGAGGCCGTCCGCCGCACCCCAAGCGAGGGACAGGTCATGGTCAGTGGGCCGTCGCGCTGTGAGGCACTGGTCGGCCCACACAGGGCAGAGCCGTGCCCGGGCCTGCAGGGACCCAGGAGTGGAGCGCGTCAGCCCCGTCTATCACGATCGGCCTGCAGCCTCCGCCTCGTCCAGGGACCTTCACAAAGCCACGGTCTCCCCTGCTCCGCACAACCCAAACGGTCCCAGGTTCAAATTCCGCTCAGGGTGGGGTCCTCTCAGAACCAGGCCCTCCTGGGTCCCGTACCCCGCTCGAGTCCTGGGCCACACATCGGCAGGTGTGGCCAAAGCCATGGTGGTCCCAACTTTTTCGGCCAGACTCGGATGGGGTCCCTCCAGGGCCGGCCCTCCGTGGGGCGCGCTTGCTGACAGCACCTGCCTGACGTCCCCGGGCAGCAGCCCAGGTACCATCACCGCCTCAGCTCTGCGGCCGTCCCCTGCTCGTCACCCGTCTGGGTTGCGCCCAGCCCCGCGTACCCTCAGGAGAGGATTCTGTGCTCCTCGCCGAAGTGGGAGCGAGCGGCTCGGAGGGCTCACGTCGGCAGCGCTGACGAGCAGGCGCACCGGGAACCACGACTTCCCTGCCCGGGGCGAGCGATTCCACCAACCGACCGGGCAACACCCCACCACCGGGAGCTCAGAGACGCGCCGGCACCGTCCTGGGGCCCCACGCCCTTCGTTGTCGAGAAACCCAGCGGCTGGGGTCCCAAGCCTGCCATGAATGTGTCCTGTGGAAATTCCTGGGGGGCCCCGCAGAAGGAACCCAGCAGTGCCGCCCGGTAGGCCTGTGCCCACCTTGTGAGGGGTAGGAAGAAAGGCAAGAAGGTCTGACACCCACAAAATTAACAGTAACGAACACCGAACTGAAGAGTCACGCCACGGTCTCAAAATGATCCACCCAGAGGCCAGAGGCATGAAGACAAAAGGTAACTAAGCCTGACACCGGGCACAGGCCCCTCCTCAGGCAGGCAGCCTGGGCCACCTGCCCAGCTGGAGGGAGGACACTGCGGTCAGCAGGCTCACCCGAGCGTCTACCTGGCCACATCCTTCAGCGGCCTGACCCCGGGGAGCCCTGGGCTCCCCTTGACATTACACAGGCCGCAGACCCCGGGTCTGGTACACAGCGGCGTGCGCTCCGTAAGCGTCTGTCAGCAGGGGCACCAGAGGTCAGCCCCTCCCCGAAACAGACTGAACCCGAGACAAGACTGAGTCCACACGAATACCGCAAAGGTCCCCCTCAGGGCCACCTCTGCGCTTCATCGCTATAACCGGCCCGGCTCGAGCAGGACCCAGAGATGCCCCCGGACCCCCTGACAGCGACGCTGGGGTCTCACCGATGGACAGCAGCTCCTGGTTGGCGTCGATGCGGTAATTATTCTGAGACGCTGAACAGAAGGAACAATAAAAACACTGTCACTAGACAGGTGACGTCAGTAGGAAAACGTTCATGAAATGGAAAATGGCACACATTCCACATGTAGTACTAGCTTCGTGAACGTAAATATACAAATACACACACGTGCCAATGCGGACGGGTACGTGTCTGTTTCAGAAGACAGAGCAGACAAGCAAGGCAGGCGGGGCCCAGGGGCGGATGCCAGGGAGGGCGGGGGTGGGCACCTTACCAAAGGATTTGGCCACTGCGATGCTCTCCAGGAGGCCCATCAGGGGCACAGCGGCCAGCCCGGCCCCCATGTCCTGACGGAGAGAGAGGGATGGGGGTGACTCTCGGGGGGAGGAAAGGACCCCTGACTAATGTCCACTCCAAAGGGTTCCCTTTCCGAATGCCAGCGGCCACTCAAGGTCCCACCACATGTCACTCTGCAATATGTTCAGCTCACATCTTTTTTCGTTTTTGTTCTGATTATCTTTTTTAAATATTTTTTTTCTTTATGGATTTTAAAGAGGAAGGGAGAGGGAGAAAGACAGACACATTGATGAGAGAGAACATCGACTTACTGCCTCCTGCAGGCCCCCCACTGGGGGTCAGGCCCACAACCTGGGGATCAGGCCCACAACCTGGGCATGTGCCCTGACCGGGAATCGAACCGGCGACCTCTTGGTGCAGGGTCCACGCTCAGCCACTGAGCCACACCGGCCAGGCTGATTATCTTTTTTGTGGGGAGGGGGTGTATCTTGGAATCTGTGTCTCACAGCTTTTACTTATCTCGTTTGTTACTTAGGAAACTTTGTTTCCTTTGCAGTCCACTGCCCTCGACCTCAGTAAAGCCTCGGGGGACACCGGCCCTCCTACCTCTGACCAGGTGGGTCACTCGACCTCAGTAAAGCCTCGGCCCTCCTACCTCTGACCAGGTGGGTCACTCGCTGCAGGGCCGCGAGCTTGCAGGCTTGGAGGCCTCTCCGGACCGCACAAGGCGCGGACGCAGCCAGTCCTGCTACGCCAGGGTGTGCAACGGCAGGAGGGCCCTGGGCTCAAGGCAGAAAGGGACCAGGGGGTACCCTGAGGCTGTGCCCCATCCGGAATTCTTCGCTGCCTGCCCTGCACCCAGAGACCCCGCTTCCTGGGGCCTCAGCAGGCCTGGTTGAGCTCAGAACTCCCTGGCCCTCAGCGGATGCGTTAGGGGACAGAACCAGGCCCGGAGGCCGCTGCGGCCTCGGCCCGGCTGGCCTGGCTCCGCGTCTGCCCACCTGGACCATGTCAGTGAAGGAGGCTGTCCTGTTGGCAGTGGTCAGCGAGAAGGGAGGGGTCCGCAGTGACGGGAGACCCTCGACGATCTTCCCCGTCAGGACGAAGGGCTGGTATCCAGTCACGTCGAAGGAGTACGCGGCCAGGGCGGCGAAGGAGACCACCAGGGCGTTTCGAGCTGGGGTGGACAGACAGACAGACTGGGGGTGAAACCGAGCTCCTCCGGGGAAGGAGCAGAGATCCCGCCCCAGCCACAACCCTTACACCCCAACCTGGGGAACCGTGCGGACACAAGCGACCCTGCAGCACCACGCACCCGTGACACCGTGGGAAGGCACGTAGGTGGGCAGAGGGGCGGCACACGGGGCAGGGGCAGGCCACCGATGGCCACGAGACCGCACAGCCGAGACCCACGAAGACCAGCTGCCCGGGACAGTGCCACCTGAAGGAAGACGGAGTGACCGCAGGCTTTCCCGGCTGCCTGGGACGACTCAGCACTGGACAAGACAGACGGGAAACTGTGTGTCTCTACGTGCAGCCCCCAGACTTAACTAGAAACGAAGCCATAAGGTCCGAGAGTCTGCAAAGGGGCCTGGGGGTAGGGGAGTGCAGTACGGGGTTTGAAGAAATGACGGCTGACTTGTTTTCAGATGTGTTGACAAGTGCGAACTCCCCCACCCAAGAAGCTCGATGGATTCCAGAAGCATGGGGGGAACGAGCTACATCAAGGCACATTGAATCAAATCAGCGCAAACCCCCGAAAACGAGATAGCGAGAGAGCTCACACCCAAGGAAGCACAGCAGGCTTCTTGTCACAAACAGAGCGGTGTCTCCAAAGCACAGAAGGGGGCGCCGTCTAGAATTCTGTATCGAGCAAAACGACCTCCCAAAAATGACAGCAAAATAGAGAGTTTTCCAGACACACAAAAGCGGAGAGACCCCAGCGGCCGCAGGCCCGCACGCCAGGAATCGATGTTGGGGGGCTGCAGGCGGAAGGAAGTGGTACGACGGGAACTGGGGTCTGCGCAGAGGAAGGGAGAGCTCCTGAAAGGGGACGATGTGGGTAAAGGCGAAATGCTTTGTTCTTAAAAGCAAGGGCGTGTTTATTAGTATTATTATCTTTTATTTTTTAAATGTAATTTATCTTTTTATTTTTATCCTCACCCAAGGACATTTTTGCATTCATCTTCAGATAGAGCAGGAGGGAGAGAGGGAGGAAGAGAGAGAGAGAGAGAAACATCGATGTGAGAGAGACACATTAACTGGCTGCCACCCACACAACCCCAACCAGGGCCGGGGACAAACCACAACGAGGTACGTGCCCTTAGCGGGAACCGAACCCAGGTCTCTCTGGACCGCAGGCCGACGCTCTAACCGCTGAGCCAAACCGGCCAGGGCGAGGGCATGTTTAAAGTGAGGGCACAATGATCACTGTGGAGCTTACAGGAGACGCTGAACAGGAACAGGTGACGATGGCACAAAGGTTCTTTTTGTTGTTGTTGCTAATCTCACCCGAGGATATTTTCCCATTGATTTGTAGATAGAGTGGAAAGGAGGCAGGGAGGGAGGCAGAGAAACACTGATGTGTGAGAAACACATCCACTGGTTGCCTCCCACATGACCCTAACCGGGGCTGAGGATAGAGAACCTGCAACCCAGGTACGTGCCCTGGACTGGAAATCGAAACTGCGACCCTTCCTTACACAGGATGAAGCTCTAACCACTAAGCCAAACCAGCCAGGGCCAACGGTTCTTATATCAACAGGAAGATGAACGCATATGTCAGCAGATAGAGAGATATGCTATAAAACCTAAAGCTACTAACAAAAACAAATAAACCACACACACATAGCAGTAACAGTCAATAAGCCAATAAAGAAAATTTTAAAAAATAATAAAAAATACTCAACCCAAAAGACTGTAGAAAGAGAGAGAATAGAACAAATGAGACAAATAGAAAACAAACAGCAATATGGCAGATCTAAAGCCAAACATACAAAATAATCACGTTAGCTGTAAATAGTATCATCCACAATTAAATGGCAGAGATTTTTCAGACTGGATTAAAAAACAAAGTTTATCTATATTATTTTTCACCAAAACACTTTAAACATAAAGATAAAAATAAGTTAAATACATTAAAAATGAAAGGATGGAAAATATATACTGATATTAATCAAAGAAAGCTGGAGTAGCTATATTAGTATCAAACAAAGTAGATTTTGGAGCAAAGAAAATAACCAGGAACAAGGAAGGTCATTTCAAGAGAAAATCATAATCTGATATTTGTATGTACACACAAGATATGTTCTTCAACCACAATGAAATTAAATTAGAAATCAATGGAAAATCCCCAAATCTTTGGAAATTAAATAGCTTCTAAATAGCCCTGATTCAAAGCAGAAATTAAATGTCCCACTTCAAAACAATCCCTGAGTCAAAGGAGAAGTCAAATGAAAATCAGAAAGTATTTAGAGCTAAACTAAATGAAAACACAACCTATCAAAATTGTGGAAGCAGCTAAAGCAGTGCTTTGAGGACATTTTATAGCATTATTAGAAAAGAAGAAAGGTCTCAAATCAAAGTCCTCAGCTTCCACCTTAAGAATCTGAAAAATAAAGGTAAAGTAAATCCAAAATAAGCAGAAGAAAATAATAAAGATCAGGGCAGAAATCAATGAACTAGAAAACAAAAGCAACACAGAGATTCATGAAATCAAAAGTTGGTTCTAATTTCCTAAAGCAATGCCACAGGTTCTGGAGACAAAGGAGATCCAGCCCCCGAGAAGCCTAGTTAGTAGCACAGCAGTATTTCTCAGACTTTACCTGGAAGGAAGTTAACACGCATATTCTAAGTCAGAGGCCTGGGTGGAGCCTGAGAATATGCATTTTCTCAGCTCCTGGGGATGCTGGTCTGAGGCCGCACTTTGAACGACCAGGTTCTAAGAACAGAGCGTCTGCCAGTTTTACTAGTCTACTGACTGAACTCTGGCAAGTGGCTCACGCAAGACGAAATGCCAGGTGAGTGGTGCAACTGGGACGTGAAATCAGGTCTTTGCGCCCCACACCTCGTGTTCTTCTACCCTGCCAAGCTCTCAGGATTTCCTCGAGGCCTTCAGTCTGAAGAACGGTCTGCTGAGCACCTCTGCGCACTGGGGACCTGAGCAGCTCGCAGTGAACTCAAAGGCTGAATCGAGCACCCCCCCCGCTGGCTGGATTTCGTGGCCACGGAAGAGCAGGGCCAGGCGAGGCGTGGTCTCCACTGCCCCTCAGGTCTGAGACGGTCTGCAGATACCCACGCGTCCTTCCATTCCTGGACCTGCCTTCCTCCCCGGGAGTTGCTGACCGGAAGCTCAGCCACAGGGACCTCTGAGGAAAGGTCTCCACCTCCCCAGCGATGGCCCTCGACCCGCCACGGCCACACTGACCCTCCTCACGTGGCCTTTCTGCATGGAGCCTGCCGATTTCACGTCCAGAGCAAAAGGTTTGCCTCCGGCAGATGCACGATGGAAACGGTACAAGTTCACCTTGTTTTTCTCCCCCAGGGACCTGCCCACACACCAAGCCTCTCGACCTGGGCACAGCTGACATCTGGGGCCGATCATTCTCTCCCGAGGGAGGCCGTGCGAGGTAAGATGCTTAGCGGCACCCCTGACTCCACCCACCAGGTGCCAGTCACAGCCTTGTCCGGACACTGCCAAATGCCCAATGCAAAGCAGTGTTCCCAGCCCTGCAGTACATCAGAACCACCCAGCGAGCTTCAAACATCCCAGGGCCCGAGTCACGCCCGGACCAGTGACACCAGCATCTCGAGCCAGCACCTGTGCATCCCCCCAGGAGCCGGTCCAAGTGTGGCACAGCCGGAAGCCCTCACCTGTCGTGACAGTCCAGAGCAGCCCGTGGCTGAGCCGCGCAGCGAGGGGCATCTCGTGGTGCCCAGGTGGCAGGTGGTCCTGCAGCAGTTTCAGCAGCAGCAGCAGCAGCATGCAAACCAGCCCCAGCACGGCATCGCCCACCCTGCAGACAGATGCCAGTCAGCGCCCACCTGGCCTCCAGGGGACTCCCCTGCTGGGCAGCTCGCTCGCTCTCTCTGCTGCTCTTTTCCCTTTTCCTAGAAAGCCTGCATCCCTGCTCTATTTCTTTTTCTTTTTTTTTTAACTCGGTAAGTACACAGGTCCGTGCGGGGCAGGGAGTCGAGGCCCCGGTCACAACGGCAGCAGGGCCGTGAGCCACTTGTAGCCCTGTGGTTCTCTGGGCTACACATGCCTCGTCCATTCCCGAAGGTTCGCTTCTGACAGCTTAGAGTGCCCCCCGCCAGGTCGGCCTCCCCTTTCTGACCCCAGGCTGCATGTCCCGCCCGGGTCGGGGAGCCCCGGACTTCCCGGGAGCTCAGTCCCGGAGCCTCCGCAGAGGAGAAAGGGAAGAGCAGACGGTCAAAGCTCAGCGGTGCTCACCGGGGGCCACACCTCCCCAGCTCCCTTCAGACCTTTCCTTCCTGTCTGCCCCTTCCTGCCGCCCTCGGAGGGGAGTCCCCGCAGGGGCCCTAGCTCTCACCGCGGCCCCACCTGCCCCCTGAACCCTGGGCACTGGGACAACCTGCTGGCACGTCCTCCTCGTGCCGCGTTCTCTCTTCCCCCCCGAACTACAAGCTGCTGCGAGAAACCGCCTGATCCTTCTGTTACGTGGTCTCTTCCCACTGCGAGCACCCAGACACTGCACGGTCAGCCGACCAGCTCGAAGGCGGCCCAGCGTGGCCTCTCGCCCTCCCACGCACACCGATGGCTCCAGCAGGCTGAGCCGGCAGCCACCGTGATGCCGACGGTGCTGCCCTCGGACCCGGACCCGTCTACAGCAAGACCCCCGAGGATGGACTGAAGGCCACCGGGGAGGGTGCAGGTCTGGAAGGGAGCGCTCCCTGCAGGGGCAGCAGTGAGCAGGTTACCTGGTGTTTCCGATGTCACGGAAGACGTGGTACACTTGCAGGAACAACTGTCGAGGGGCGTGCTGCAGTCCCAGCAGGTTCTGTCCAAACAGAGGCTCTGATGAGGCCACCTTCCCCACGAGGCCACAGGCCCACAGGGACTCACCGCATGGGTCCCGGGGACCACCTGCCCAGTCCCAAAGCAGATCCAAGTTATGCTCAGGGGAAGGGCGCGTACACCACCCGGGGCCCACGCACACCCCTGCAAACTACTTTCCTGTCTCAGGAAAACCCATCTGGACGGTCTCAAAGCGGGGAGGCCAGTTCGACGACAGCCTGCCCTGTTGTGATCGGATCTCAGCCGTGTCCGTCATCGAGCAGCGCCCCTCCAACCCATGCAGACCCCGCCCACCACGAGAGGCCTGCACGCTGGCAGCACCCTCTGCCACAAGGAAAAATTGGGGCGCTCCAATGCAGCAGCAAAACCTTGCGGGGGGAATCCAGGTGTCCAGGGAAGTAGCTGGGGGACCCTCTGCCAAGTCAGGGCCTCCCACTACGTTCTGGGCTGTCGGGTCCTTGGGAGGGAAAGGGGGCTCCATTGCTTATTCCGCATGATACTGGTGGGGAGTGTGGGGAGCATTCAAGGGGGCAGTCGAGGCCCAGACCCCGAGGTGGTCAGCTCTAAGGACCCCAAGCCCACAGTGCACACAGCCCTGATGAGCAAGGGCATGGGGGGCTGTGGCCGCAGGCTGGGGGCTTCTGTCCTGGGCTGGGCCTTCCACCTGGAGGACCCTCCCCAAACTGCAGCCCCAGGGCTCTAAGGTGGCTGTCGTGACCTGGACTTCAGCGGACCCAGGGTCTCCAAGGACAGACGCACAAAGAGGCCACCTCTGTACCCTCTGTGATCGTGCAAAAGAACATTCTTTTTTATCCTCACCCGAGGACATTTTTCGATATTTTGTTCAGATAGAGTGGGTGGGAGAGAGAGAGAGAAAAACATCGACGTAAAAGGGACACATCGATCGAGTGGTTGCCACCCGCACGACCCAACCAGGGCCGGGGACAAACTGCAACCGAAGTACATGCCCTTAGCGGGAACCGAACCCGGGTCTCTCTGGACTGCAGGCCGACGCTCTAACCGCTGAGCCAAACCGGCCAGGGCCAAAAGAACATTCTTGATACGAAAAACAAAGGATGTTGTCTCCAGAACAAGTAACAGACCGCCCCAAACAGCACTCGCCAGCTCTCCCTGGCGGGTGTGCACGTACACAGGTGCGGTCGCCACACCTTCCTGGCTGCTTCCTCCTCCGCCCGGAGGTCGACTTGCTCATGTGGGCGCTGTGAGAACCACAGGCAGGAGCACCTGACCCAGCGCCTCGCGCGCGGAGGGCGGGATGCCAGCCACCTGCACCCACACACGGCTGCTGTCGGTTTTCTCCCTCTGCCTCCACGGGGAAGACGCTTCGAGCCAGCCCGGAGAGAGCCCTGGCGCGAGCACCATGCCTGACAGAGGCCGCGATGGTGACACCAGGTCACAGGCAGGGGCCAGGAGGGGCCCCTGGCCTTCACCTGTGCAGTTCCGCTCAGTGTCTCCCACATGCCCAGCTGAGCGCTTCCCTTCCCTGCCAAGCACAGCCCTGCCCTCCAGGAGCTTAGACTCCCAGGGGAGCAGGGTGAGTGGCTCCGGGGCTTCTTATGGAAGTTTAAACAGAAACACGAGGCCCTGGGTAGCTCGGTGGGACAGACCGTCGTCCAGCGATGGCCAAGTTGCAGGTTCCGTCCCCAGTTAGGACACACACCAAAATCAAAAAAGAATGTTCTTCTGGCCCTGGCTGGTTTGGCCCAGCGGTTAGAGCGTTGGCCTGCGGTCTGGAGAGACCCGGGTTCGGTTCCCGCTAAGGGCATGTACCTCGGTTGCAGTTTGTCCCTGGCTCCGGTTGGGGACATGTGGGTGGCAAACACTCAATGTGTCTCTCTCACGTGGATGTTTCTCTCTTCCTCCCTCTCTCCCTCCCGCTCTATCTGAAGATAAATGCAAACATGTCCTCGGGTGAGGATTAAAAACAAAACCAAACCAATGAGTACATAAATTAATGGAAGAAATTGATGTTTTTTCCTCTATCCCTCAGAAAACACACACACACACACACACACACACACACACACACACACACACAGAAGCATAGCATTTGAAAAACATTAAGCAGAAACTATGCCCAACCAGTGTGGCTCAGTGGATTGAGCATTGTCCCAGGGACTGAGAGGTCCCATGTGATTCCCAGTCAGGGCACATGCCTGGGTTTCTGGCTCGATCCCCAGTAGGGGGCGTGCAGGAGGCAGCTGATGGATGTTTCTCACACCAATGTTTCTCTCTCTTAAAAAAAAAATCAATTGCTCTAGCCGGTTTGGCTCAGCGGTTGGAGCGTCGGCCTGCGGTACAGAGAGACCCGGGTTCGGTTCCCGCTAAGGGCACGTACCGCGGTTGCAGTTTGTCCCCGGCCCTGGTTGGTCGTGCGGGTGGCAGCCACTCGATGTGTCCCTTCACGTCGATGTTTCTCTCTCTCCCTTCCGCTCTATCTGAACAAAAAATGGAAAAATGTCCTCGGGTGAGGATAAAAAAAAAAAAAATCAATTATAAAAACAAGAAAAATATTAAGCAGAAACTCGAGAAAACATGAAATTGAAATCTCCTGGCTACTAGCGTGGGGACTCGTCTGTCAGAATCGGGCAGTACGCCAGAAGCACTCTGGGAGCTGAACGGAGCACACGGATGGGCACAGAAACCCCAGGAAGAACAGGGGCTGTCGCCGCCGCCCCCCAACTCTCCTGCTATAGGATTTGACCTTCACTCAACATGTGCCCGAAGGGTCGTCTCGTTCACCGAGACCCACGCGGCACCTCGGGCCGCTGAGTTCTGGAACGACAGGGTGTCTGCAGTCCAGCCCGGGCCGTGGCCCTGACAGCAGCAGGGGCCCGGCGCCAACAGGCACACGCACCTTGACCTGCCCGAAGCCGATGGTGACGGCAGCGGCCGAGGTGAAGCCTTTGATAACGGGGCAGGAGATGAAGTCCAGCAGGAACCCTGGCGGGCCAAGAGCGGATTCTGAGCCGGTCCCGGAGGACGACGGGCGCAGGCTGGCAGAGGGGTGTGGGTGGGACCTGATGAAGTGGGTGGTGCACCGTTTGGGCTGGTTTGGAGAGCGGGAGGGGGGCTAGGATCTCAGGCCCTGGGTCCGTCTCCTAGTCTCCTGGCTCCTAAGCAGAAGAGAGTGCCCGCTCCACCCTGAGAGGGTTAGCCCTTGAAATGTACAGAGAAACGCGGTGAGGGCAGGGCAACCCCAAAGGCAGGTGCCTCGGTTCAGAGCAGAACCAAAGCCTCGCCGCCCCCACAGCAAGAAGGCCCGTCTCACCCAGGCCCAGGAACCTCATGGCTAACTGGATGCAGCCCGACAGGAAGGCCAGCAGCACGGCGTAGGCGGGCTCACGGAAGGTGTAGGAGGCGACCAGGAGGGACATGATGGCCGTGGGGCCCAGAGTCACGTCCCGGGAGGTGCCCAGGAACAAATACACAAAGCACCCCATGAAGGCGGAGTAGAGGCCGAACTGTTGGGGAGAGAGAGCAATGAGCACCCAAAACACAGGGTCACGGAGTCCCTGGTGTCTGAGCACAGGGATCTGGGGGTGCCCTGTGAACTCGGGGCGCACCAGCATGCACAGGGGAACTGCTCAGCCTCTCTCATCCAGGTTCCAACCTGCAGTGGTCAGGAGACCTTTCCCCTACCAGCCTGGAGAACACGCGTGGCACCGTGCCGAGAACACCACAGGCCTGGGCCCACCCAAAGGCAGTCATGTGCTCTAGACTCAAAACCAAGGCCTCGGCGGCCCCAAGGCTGAGCCCAGGGTGCCCCCTCCTTGTCTGCAAACGACACTATGCACTTCTACTCGGCTTCTGGGAGGCCCAGCGTGGGGCTGGGCAGGGCGCTGAGGGCAGCCCGCACCTGGGGAGGGAGCCCCGCAACCTCAGCGTAGGCCAGCGCCTGGGGAATGACCATGAGCGTGACCGAGAGCCCAGCGATGCAGTCCATCTTCAGCCACTGCAGGGAGTAGTTGGGCATCCAGGCCAGGATGGGCAGCCACCTCCGGAGGGTGGTGAGGGAGCAGCAGCGGGTCCTCGGGGCCATGCCAGGAGGCCAGGGAGTGGCCTGTTCCGCCGCCTGCGCAGATGTCCAGCTTGTGGTGGGGGTGGGGGGACACAGTCAGGGTCCGGGTTTCAGAGACCCCGGCAGTAAGGTGAGGGTCCATCAGGAGAGACAGTCTGTCTCCCCCCACCCTGGGGTGCAGTCAGATGGGCTAAGTCCTCCCCCCGGGGCCGCTCTGAGAGGGAGCCAAGGGTGAAGGAGGCCCCCACCGATGGTGGAGACCTGACCTGTCGGCTGCTGCCCCTCAGTGCCGCCTGCCCAGATGCCAGGTGCCTCTCTCCCTCCCTGGATGCTCAGTGGGAAGACAGAATAACTAGTTTCTCAGCAAGAAGCCTAAACACGGATCACATTCCAGGTTGGCCCTCCCTGGAGACTGTTTCCCTCCCCAGGAATCCAACTGGGAGCAGGGCAGAGTCCACGGGGGCACCGTCCTCAGGCTGGTGGGGGACCGGAGGCCCTCAGGGTCCCCCGGTTTCCCTGTGCACAGCGCAAGGGGCTCCATCCAGGAGGCAGACAGCGCTGGGCCAGGAGCAGTCTCCCACCCCCACCTGTGGCGCTCGCATCCCTAGAGGAGCCCCGAGTTCTAGTTGGTTATGGAAGACGTCAGAGGCCTCTCCACTAATTCCAAGTGCGCGGCACCCTGCGGGACCACCCCAACCCCCGGCGCCGCGGGGCTGCTCTGGACAGAAGCCTCCCCCAGCCCGGGCCGCGGTGTCTAAGGGCGAGGACCACACACCAGCCCCAGGAAGACCAAGGGCGACAGGGACCTGGGAAGAGACGCGCTGGTTGGGGAGCTGGGTTCCCCGCGGGAGGCGCCCGCACCCTCCGGCCCCCGCGCCGCCCTCCAGGCCGGCTGCTCCCAGCGACCCCGGCCAGTCCCGGCAGCTCGCCCACCGCGCCCCGGGGCCCCCGCTGCTCCCCGCCCGCTGCGGACTCAGACCCCGGCCAGTCCCGGCTGCTCGCCCACCGCGCCCCGGGGCCCCCGCTGCTCCCCGCCCGCTGCGGACTCACCGGGCGCCCAGCTCCCGGACCCCCGACGTCGCCACGGCGGCGGCACCCGAAGCACCGACTAGGGAGTGGGACATGGGCGGGGCCAGGCACCTCGTGACCGGGCGGGGCGGGGCCTGGCGCCCACGTGACGCGGGCGAGCCGGCCCCCCCACCCCAGCCACCGCCATGGGCCCCGGGCCGGTCTGCTGGGCGCTGCTCGCCCTGGGGCTCTGCTGCGCGCACCGGGCGCGCCCTCGCCACGTGCTGCTGATCGTGGGTGAGTGCGCGCCCGCACCCCGCCGCCCGCGTCGCCCCGCGTTGGCCCGGGTGCCCCTCACTGCCATCCCTCCCCGTCCCCCCTCTGGCAGCCTCGGGTCTGCAGGGGTCGCCCCGGCATTCGGCACCCCGCCCCTGCCGCCAGCCCTGACCCTGCACCCTCTCCGGTGCCCAGAGCCCAACCTCGGGAGGCCCGCCGCTTTCCAGAAGTCAGGGTCCACAGACCCCAGAGGGGAAGCCAGGAGAGGGGCTGGTGGTACCCAAGTCCCCAGAGGCCAGCCAGAGTGTCCTGGGGCTCTGGTCGCCTTCCCAGCGCTTTCTCAGACCCCCAGGGCTCTGGGGGTCAGCTCTGCCCCCCACCGCAGCCTGCCTGCCTCTCAGCCCCCGCCCCGCCCCTCCCAGAAACTCCGGGCTTCTCCAGCGCCTGCTGTTCACGAGACTTCCTGTTTGGGTGACCAGCCAGGCTGTCGCAAGGCAACCTCTTCTTTCCTCTTTTTATGGGGTCTGGCCCTGTGCCACGGTCACTCTTTCTGATTAACTTTGTGGTCTGTGGCCAGGCTCATTGTAATGTGACCAGCTCTCCACTGGGGGGCTCCCATCAACTCCCCGCCCACGGACACCAGTGGGAAATCACATCCACGCACTGCCTCACCAGGCCTGCCCCCTGACGTGCCCACCCGAGTTCACGCCCACCCGACTTCCATGCCTGCTAACATGCTCATCTGGTGGTCACACATGCCACTCGGGCATCATGCCTGCTGAATAGAACGCCGTGCAGGTGCGATGCCCACCCCGGGGGCACGCCCACCTGAGCATCACTGGCCCAGGCCACTGCGGCGGGACCCAGTCTTCTTCCCTCCCGCCCGTGACTCCTCCTGAGCCAGCCCCCGTGTCCTGTGTCCCCACCTTCTCAGCGGACGACGGAGGCTTTGAGAGTGGCGCTTACAACAACAGCGCCATCGCCACCCCCCACCTGGACGCCTTGGCCCGGCGCAGCCTGGTCTTCCGCAACGCCTTCACCTCTGTCAGCAGCTGCTCACCCAGCCGGGCCAGCCTCCTCACCGGCCTGCCCCAGGTGAGGCGCCGGGCGCAGGGCAGGGCCCCTCCCTGGCCCCCACCCCTGCCCCAGATGTGCTTCCATCCCCCACGCCCCACGCCCCCCGAGGCTGAGGCTGCAGGTGGGAGCCTCCGTGGACGGGGGTCTGTGGCCTAGCACAGACCCCTCCCGAAAAGCTGATGAGACACTGCGCCGCGGGCTGCAGGCTGCAGCCACGAGGGAGCTTTTCCTTACCAGTTGATGGCCTTCTGGTCGGAGTTGGTAACAGGGCAGACTGTCTGGCGCTGTAAACAGGCGGCCGGTGGAGAGGCCTCAGCCGCCTTCACTCCACGGCGGTGCTTGTTCAGGGGGATTGGGAAGAACAGATGAGCAAAGAGGAGGAAGTGAAAGGCACCCCCAGTTCCGGTGCACACCTGTCTCCCAGTCTTGTGTCTCCTGCCCATGTCCCTTGGGAGGGACCTGTTGTGGGGCGAGGAGCACGAGGGTGCTGGCCCCTGAGGCCCGGGTGATGAGAGGGTGAGCAGGAGCGGGGCTCCGGGGGGCCCACCTGCTCACGGTGCCCTGCCTGCAGCATCAGAACGGCATGTATGGCCTGCACCAGGACGTCCACCACTTCAGCTCCTTCCCCGGGGTGCGGAGCCTGCCGCTGCTGCTGAGCCAAGCTGCCATCCGCACAGGTGAGGGCTTGGTGCCCGTGCCCCAGTGGCAGGGTGTGGGGCCGTGGCAGGTGTGGGGCTGTGTGGCAGGTGTGGGGCTGTGTGGCAGGTGCGGGGCCGTGGCAGGTGTGGGGCTGTGTGGCAGGTGTGGAGCCGTGTGGCAGGTGTGGAGCCGTGGCAGGGTGTGGGGCTGTGTGGCAGGTGTGGGGCTGTGTGGCAGGGTGTGGGGCTGTGTGGCAGGTGTGGGGCTGTGTGGCAGGTGTGGAGCCGTGGCAGGGTGTGGGGCTGTGTGGCAGGTGTGGGGCTGTGTGGCAGGTGCGGGGCCGTGGCAGGGTGCGGGCTGTGTGGCAGGGTGCGGGGCTGTGTGGCAGGTGTAGGGCCGTGGCAGGGTGCGGGCTGTGTGGCAGGTGTGGGGCCGTGGCAGGTGCGGGGCTGTGTGGCAGGGTGCGGGGCTGTGTGGCAGGTGTGGGGCTGTGTGGCAGGTGTGGGGCCGTGGCAGGGTGCGGGCTGTGTGGCATAAGAGGAAGCAGAGGTCTTGGAAAGGGCTCCGGACAGGCCTCTCCCCCTCCAGGCATCATCGGGAAGAAGCACGTGGGGCCGGAGACGGTGTTCCCCTTCGACTTCGCGCACACAGAGGAGAACGAGTCTGTCCTGCAGGTGGGGCGGAACATCACTAGAATTAAGCTGCTGGTCCGGAAGTTCCTGCAGACCAGGGACGACAGGTGCGGGGCCCCTGCCCCCTTACCCTCCCTCCCTCGGCAGACCTCTGGGCAGTTAACGTGGGACGCACGTCCAGCATCTTCCTTTGGGGTTCCCTAGACGTGGAGCGGGGTAGGGGAGAAGGTTCCAGACGCTCAAGTTAATCTTGTTGGAGGAAGAGGGGGCATGGGGAAACTGAGGCAGTGAGGCTCGCGGAAGACTTGCAGAGACGGGGGGCAGGCAACGCCAAGGGTGTCCTTCCTGAGGGCTGGGGCTCCCTGTGCAGGCCCTTCTTCCTGTACGTGGCCTTCCACGACCCCCACCGCTGCGGGCACTCCCAGCCGCAGTACGGGCCCTTCTGCGAGAAGTTCGGCAACGGAGAAAGCGGCATGGGGCGCATCCCAGACTGGACCCCGCAGATCTACGGCCCGCAGGATGTGCAGGTAGGGCCCCTCCCGGGAACCGCAGCCCTGGCCCCAGGGGTGGGACTTAGCTCGGAAGAGGTGGCCCTTTGCTCACGGACCCGAGTCCCGTCTGGGGCCTGCAGGGGGCAGTGTGAAGAGGTGATGATGTATTCGCAATCGTGGGTTGGGGGCCAACCCTCTCACATGAGGATTTCAGGCTCCGGGTGGATCCCAGCACCTCCACCTTCCACCCTAATTCAAGGGCTGGACACTCGTTCTCCTGGCCCCGTTCTGACTTGGACTCCCCACCCCCTGCCCTCAGGTGCCTTACTTCGTCCCCGACACCCCGGCAGCCCGGGCTGACCTGGCCGCTCAGTACACCACCATCGGCCGCATGGACCAAGGTGGGTCCGGAGCCCCGGCGTGGGGTGTGCCGCAGCTTGGACAGGGTCTGAAATTGGTGGGCAGGGCCATGTCCCCCCCGGGAGAGCTCCTCTTTGCCTCCTGCTTTTGGGGGCCCCAGGACCTCTGGGCTCAGGGCTGCATCACAGTCTCTGCCTTCAGTATGTGGCCTCTCTTCTCTCCTTACCCCTTGTCATCGGGTTCTGGGTCCACCTGGGCACTTCATAACAACCTCATCTCGAGATCAGGGACAGTCACACCTGCTGAACCCCCTTTCCAAATAGGGTCGCATCCAGGGTTCCAGGTGGACATACGCTTTCGGGGGGACCACCTTTCTACCCACTACAGGACATTGGCACATCTCCCTGCTGGTGCCGTCAGTTCACAGTGACCTGGGAAGGGGGTGTAGGTGGACTCCTGTGTCCTGCCCCTGCCCAGGACTGTCCGTTAGTTCCACGGGGCTGCCGGGGTGTCAGAGAACGCAGGAGGCAGGGTATGGCGGCTGGCAGGTGTGTGGGGTGGCACGGAGGTGCTGAGGGATGGCGGCGTCCCCGGAGGGAGGGCTCAGGCGAAGGCCCTGCAGGGCCTGCTCCAGGATGGGGACCGGGCGGGGTGTGGGGCCGGAGGCCCAGGCTGGTGGGAAGGACCTCGGGGTCCAGCAGCCGGATGCGGGAGGAATTAGCGCCCATTCTCACCTCCGGCTGTGGTGGCTGAGCTCCGTTACCCTTCCCCCGCAGGGATCGGACTCGTGCTCCAGGAGCTGCAGGGAGCCGGCGTCCTGAATGACACCCTGGTGATCTTCACCTCGGACAACGGCATCCCCTTCCCCAGCGGCAGGACCAACCTGTACTGGCCGGGCGTGGCGGAGCCCCTGCTGGTGTCGTCCCCAGAGCACCGGAAACGCTGGGGCCAGGTCAGCGAGGCCTACGTGAGCCTGCTAGGTATGCGGCTGTGTCCCGGGGAAGGGGATGGGGTGGCGGGACCACCAAGTCCTGAAGCGCCGCACCCGCTACCTCAGGTGTTTCCACTCGACCTGGGTGTGGAAGGGACCCCGTCGGACGTAATGAGGCTCACCCACAGCGCCTGACTCAGTAGATCTGGGGTGGGGCCTGAGAATCTGCATTTATGAGAAGTTCCCGGGTGATGCTGCTGCTGTAACCCCCGGGGCCCGGCTTCGAGGAGTCAGGCAGTAGCGGGCCCTGGCGCCCCAGGGCCCATGTCTCCCTGTGGCCCGAAAGCATCCGTGGGGACTCTGACCACAGTGCAGAACTGGTCTGAGGTCACCCGAGGCGTGGTGGTCAGGGCAGGCGCAGGGACGGCTGTCGGGCCCACGGGACTCCTCCCTTTTGGTGACGTGAGGTGTGAGGTGGCCCACCAGCTTTCAGAGCGGCCTGGCTCGGGCCCGCGGGCCGGCCTTGCCCCGCACGGCCATGCTGACGCCGCCCCCTCCGCAGACCTCACGCCCACCGTCCTGGACTGGTTCTCCATCCCGTACCCCCGCTACGCCATCTTCGGCTCGAAGCCCGTGCAGCTCACCGGCCGCTCCCTGCTGCCGGCGCTGGAGGCGGAGCCCCCGTGGGCCACCGTCTTCGGCAGCCAGAGCCACCACGAGGTCACCATGTTCTACCCCATGCGCTCCGTGCAGCGCGGGGACGTCCGCCTGGTGCACAACCTGCACTTCAAGATGCCCTTCCCCATCGACCAGGACGTCTATGTTGCGCCTACTTTCCAGGACCTCCTGAACCGCACTGTGGCCGGCCAGCCCACCGGCTGGTACAAGGACCTGCACCACTACTACTACCGGGAGCGCTGGGAGCTCTATGACCGCAGCCGGGACCCCCGCGAGGCCCGGAACCTGGCCGCCGACCCGCGCTATGCCCAGGTGCTGGGCCTGCTCCGCGCCCAGCTGGCCAAGTGGCAGTGGGAGACGCACGACCCCTGGGTGTGTGCCCCCGACGGGGTCCTGGAGGAGAAGCTCTGGCCCCAGTGCCGCCCTCTGCACAACGAGCTGTGAGTGCCCCAGGCACGTGCCCCCCGACCTGGTCCTCGCGCCCACCCTGCCGAACCAGGGCACAGCCAGCCCCGGGCACGGGGCCCACAGCCCTTCCTCTGCGCCCGTCTGAGGAGGGCTCTCCTGATGCGGGCCTCATCCCCCCTCTGCCTGGGGGGACCGGAGGGGAGGGTGTGTGCCCTCCCACGTGGGACGTTGTGCTTCTGTCTGAGCCGTGTCCCAGCACAGGCATTCCAGGGGACCTAGCACAGGGCAGGGTCCCAGCCCACGACAGGGGAGACATGGTCTGGCACGGAGTCTTGTGTTCTCAGCTGGGACCTGGGCTTGAGAACCTCTTTCTCCGGAAGCCACAGATGTCCTGTGCCCTTCCCGTGAGAGACAGGGCATCCACGTGCCAAACCCCACTCTGGGAGCGCAGAATTGACTTTATCCATCTCTGGTTCTGAAATCACTTTTGAGTGTCCCACGGTCAAGTTCCTAACCCCCCAGGCTGGGTTTCCGCGGGGCCCCCAATCCAAGCAGGCTCCCCAGGACAGGTTTGGCCTGTGGCGCTCCGCCCTGTTGGACGCCCGGGATGAGACCCGTCCTCAGTCCACGTGGGCGCTGCTCCAGGACCGCTCTGGCCCCGCCCCGCCCGTGAGGAGCAGAGGCTGTGCCTGGGAGACCCTCCCTCCCGCCAACTCCGTCCTGGGGTGTAGGGCAGAGAGCCACGGGCCAGGGCGCTATGAAGGTTCATTTCAGTAAAACACACCGAAGTCCATCTCTGAACTTGTTTATGACAATGCAGCCTGCATCCCAGACTAACTTTCTGGGCACTCAGACTCGGGGCCCTGCTGTCCAGTGACGTTCTTTCTGTCTGTGACAGTGGCAGGCCAAGCTGGTGGGAGGGGACCTGGGTCCTCTCCTGAGCCACATTGTCTCCAGGGCCTGGAGTGGAGTCCGGGTGGCCTGAGACCAGGCTGGGGTGGGACGCGAGGTGCAGGGGGCAGTTCCTGGTCCTGGGAGCAGCCCAGCTGGGCACCCTTGAGGTCCTGGGCAGGCTTGGCGGCCACCAGGCACAGACCCACCGAAAAGACTTTCCTCCTCCCGGAGTCATTTACTGGTGAACGGTCTCCAGACGTCGGGGCGGGGGGAGTTGGCCAGGACTGCAGAGCAGGGGGGCGTGTGCTCTGCTCTGCGCAGCAGCACCATGACCCTGCGCCACCAGGCTGCGCCCTCCTGCTGCAGTGGGTTTGGGACGAGCCCTCTGACACTGAAATGCAAAACGAAGTGCAGTGGTCGGGTCAGACGGGCAGTTACCTGGGGACATCTGGGCCTCCGGCTCCGGAGGGTGCCAGAGACACCCCTCCATGGGAACGCTCTCGGGTGTCTGGTTCAGACCATGCCAAGCCCTGGGGAGGTGAGATGGTTTGAATGCCCATCTGTGACCCGCACGTGGTGAGGGGAGCCGGCGGGGCCTGTATGGTGGGCACGCCAGAGCTGTCCCGCAAGGCCCGGGGCTCAGCAGGATGTGCAGGTCCCTGTGGCCCCGCGAGAGGACTCGGGCATCAGTATGGGCTCTGCTCTGTCCACACGACCTTCTTCTGCTCGTCGGAGACAGCGAAGCGGACACAGCTGAGCAGGGTGTCCAGGTCGCTCCAGCCGTCTGGGGCCAGGCTGCAGCAGGGGCAGGGCGCCTTGTCCAGCTCGCCCTCCTCCTGCCTGCTGGCATCCAGGAGCTGCTCCTCCGAGGTGCCCAGCCGCTGCAGGGCCTTCCTGCCGGACCAGAGACGGGCGGGGCAGACTCAGGGGAAGCAGCGCCTCGCTGCCCCCCTCCCCCTGGGATCCTAGCAGACCAAACCCCTGGATGCAGGCTGCCCGGGGCAGAACCCCAGGGAGCTGACCCCACCCCCGGGATCCGAGCAGACCAAACCCCTGGATGCAGGCTGTGCCTCCCCCCCGGGATCCAAGCAGACCAAACCCCTGGATGCAGGCAGTCAGCTTCAGGGGTCCTTGAAGAGACATGGCCCAGGTGATGGGCCAGGCGTCTATTAACCCCCTTAGGTGTGAAATTACACAGGGTGCAGGACCTCTGGGTTTGTTCCCAGGTGTGGTCCTCATGCACACGGGGGGCTGTTCCCTGTGTACCCCAGTGAACAGGTGGCCTTTTAGCAAATTAAGGCGGCTTCCAGGTTCGTGCTGTCCTCTGGGCTGATTCCCGGGGAGGGGGCGGCTGGACCCTTGTCCCAGACTTGTGGGGGACCGCCCCAGTGACCCTGCCAGGAAACCGCATCACATGCTCCGGAGGCCCGAGGGGCGCACCTACTTGAGCTTCCTGGCCGCCTTCTCGTTGACGGAGACCTGGACGATGATGGGGAAGATCTCCATCCCGTGCAGGGCGCGCACGCTGTCCAGCCGGACGTCCAGGAGCACGTGGATGTTCTGGGGGGAGGGAGGGGTCAGGAGTGACCCAGGGGACCGGGAGAGCTGCACCCACAGGCCAGGACCACGGAAGACGGAGCGAGCACCCGAATGCCCACGTGCCCAGGTGTCTGCGGTGCAGGCTTCTGCGTTTCCCCCACCTCGAGGGTGCTCCGCCGAGTGAAATGAGGCAGATGAAAACGGATGAAGCCCACGGCTTCACTCACACGTGGAACAAGATAGGCGTGAACAAACAAAACAAAAACTAAAGACAGATTGCTGGTCACCAGAGGAGAGGGTGGGGGAGGGGACACGGGGGAGGGGCAAACCTATGGTGATGATAGAAACTAGACTGGTGAACACCTGGTGTGTACAGACATCAGGTTACAATGTTGCACACCTGAAACCTGCATAATGTTATTAACAATGTTACCTCAGCCTAAAAACTGACCCTTGCCCTGGCCGGTGTGGCTCAGCGGTTAGAGGGTTGGCCCGTGGACCAGAGCTGCGAGTTCAATCCCGGTCAAGGGCATGTACCTCAGTTGCGCTTTGGTCCCCGGCCCTGGTGGGGGACTTGCAGGAGGCAAACAATCGATGTGTCTCTCTCACATCTATGTTTCTCTCTCCCTCCCTTTCACTCGCTCTAAAAATCAATGGAAAAATATTCTCAAGTGATTAATTGTTTTAAAAAACAGTAATTCTAACCCAGGCCGGTTTGGCTCAGCGGTTAGAGCATCGGCCTGTGGTCCGGAGAGACCCAGGTTCGGTTCCCGCTAAGGGTGCGTACCTCGGTTGCGGTTTGTCCCCGGCCCTGGTTGGGTCGTGCGGGTGGCAGCCACTCGATGTGTCCCTTTCACGTCGATGTTTCTCTCTCTCTTCCTCTCTCTCCCTCCCACTCTATCTGAACAAAAAATGGAAACATGTCCTCGGGTGAGAATAAAAAAATAAAAAACTAGTAATTCTAGTAACAAAAGAATGTTCGTCTGCGACTTTGCACTGGGCAGTGGAGACACTGCGCTGGGCCCCAGGGAGCCTCTGCAGGGGCTCAGCCCGGCGGGATGCGGCGGGAGGAGCAGGGCCCTGCCTGCGGCAGGCAGCTGGCCTGGCCCTTCGCATCCACCAAACGCTTCCTAGTTCACAGCGAGCTTCTTCCGTGTATCTGAGCCCTAGAACATGGGTGTTCATCTCACGTGCTCGCTGAGCAAATGCCACCAAACACCTCTGTCGAGGCAATAGGCTCCGGGAAGGTCACAGGACTCTACATGGTGAAGACAGGGCTTGGTCTTCCTGCCCCACCGGGGGTGTCCAGGGCCGGCAGGCCAGAGACCAGTGCCCCTCGGATGTCTGGCCAGTGTTTCCTGCCTGATCCCAGCACGCCCTCTGGAGACGGAGCTCCCAGCCCCCCAGCAGCCTGCCCTGGCCCCTACCTTCTCCATGAGGTGCTCGACGGCCGGGCGGGTCACGCAGTAGTGGCCACCGGAGGCCTCCCGCTCCTGGATGATGTCCCCTCTCTGGCTGGAGGCATCGTACTCCTCCTGGCTCAAATACTCTGAAGGTGACAGTGGACAGGGGTGTCACACACCCAGGGAGTCCCCACGCAGTGCACGGCGGAGGACCCCCCGGCTCGGGGGAGGCTCTTCTTACGGTGTCCTCTTAGTAAGCTGACCCTGCTCTCCCCACTCAGGAAGCCGTGCCCTGAGCCGTGGCACCCAGCAGTGCTCCTCAGTGCCAGGATGGGGCAGGCGGGAGGGAGGAAGATGAAGGAAGGATGGAGGGATGGACCAACACACAGATGTAATTAAGCCCTCCATCACTTCCCGAGCTCCAGACTTCCACACCACCTTATGCCACCTGAGACCCCTTAGGTCCCAGAAACCAGGGTTCTCGGGTGATTTTGCCCCAAGGGCACTGTGGATGTCTGGAGACATTCTGGCTGTCACCACTGGGGGGCAGGGGTGTGCTCCTGACATGGAGCAGGTGGAGGCCAGGGATGTCCCTCAACATCCTACAGGGCACGGAACAGCCCCAACCCGGTGCCAGAGTGCTCAGGCTGAGAGCCCGCCCTACACGACCCTGTGAGCACCCCGCCGGTGCCGTCCTCCTGAACATCTCCCGCAGACCTGTGTGCCCTCGCCTGGCCTCCCCTGTCCCTGGCGCCCAGCTGGCAGACAGCTCCCGGGTGAGTGACCCGCCCGCCCACGCCCCCCCCTCCAGCCGGGGAAGCGCCCTTGCTGCGTGGACTCGGGCAGACTCTGCGCCCGGACCCAGGGTGCCAACTGGCCGGTGTGTTTCCAGCACAGGCTTCTGGCAGGTGGGCAGTGCCCTTCGGTGCTTCCACCCCCAGGCAGGAGCCTGTGCCAGAAGTGACTGCTGGACGGGAGAGCGCCCCCATCCACGGCTACGCGCCCCAATCCACGCTGCCCACACCTCAGCACGGGGCCTCGCTTGGAAACAGCGTCTCCGCAGATGGGACCAGCTAAGATGAGGTGATACGGGGCTGGAGTGGCCTCACCAAGGACTGGGCCCTCACACGGTCATGTGAAGACAGGGACACGGGAGAAGGCCACGTGACACGGGGGCGGAGCCTGGAGGGATGCAGCCGCCGGAAGGGAAAGGAAGGCCCCTCCCCAGAGCCTCGGGAGGGGCGGCCTGAAGCACCCCTGGTCTCGGACTCCTGCTCTGGGGCCTGCAGATAATCTAGGGTGCTTTACCCCCGGTGTGCGGGGACCTGCTGCAGCAACCCCGGGAGCCACACGGTCACCTGCACGCTGCCTCCTGAAGGCCGTGAAGGGTTCTGCCAAGGCCCTGCCCCATGGCCAGGCGGCCCCGGTGAGAACGTACCTGCCGGGCATTTCTCAAACCCCTGGAGGAGGCACAGCTTCTCACTCAGGATCCTCCCAACCACCCTGGGCACGAAGAGCACGGGCCGGGGCCAGTGGGGCCTGCGGGGGTGCACCCGAGTGTAGGGCGCCAGGGTGATGCAGCGCTCGGCCCAGAAGCACCCGGGGGAGGCGTCTGCGGGGGAGAAGAGCCGTGAGTGGCCCTGCTGGCAGCTGTCCCGGCTGCTCACCAGCCCCGCCCCCAGCAGGGCCAGTGCTTTGCACCTGCCACAGTCCCCACGCGGACAGGAAAGGGGCCACGCCCACACCCCCCCGAGCAGCCCTGCTACCTGTCCACCACAGAGCCCCGTGGCTCCCCAGCCGTGGGGTGATCCCACCCGCCCTGCGTGACCCACAGAGAAGCCGGCCGCCCTCCTCCCAGGACCCTGTCCTCCCCTTGCTCCAGGCTCCGCCCCTCCCCTTGCTCCAGGCCCCGCCCCCCCAGTCAGGCTTCAGGCTGCTCTCCAAGCCCCCTTATATTATGCACCAAAAAACTTTCCAAGGAGGAAATAAACTCAGGTCGACTTAGCTTACTCTACATTCACTTCTGACCGTCTTTCTAGCTCGATTTGACCTGCACGGGGCGCGTGCTGTGCCGACCACCCTGTGCTGACCACCCTGTCCCGGCCACAGGCCCGCACGAGCACTCAGGAGTGACCGAGGTCGGCCGATCTGTGCCACCCTGTCATGGCCACAGGCCTGCACGAGCACTCAGGAGTGACCGAGGTCGGCCGATCTGTGCCACACTGTCACTGGCCTAAAGGGCCTGCAGTCGGCAGGACTGCACCGGTGGCTGTGCCTCTCATCGCACAGGTCTCAGGAGGAGACATTCAAGATGCCCAGCTCACCTGCTCTCCGGAAAGGCGCAGAGACCCAGGCACGGTCCCTACCCCACCAATCCTGGCCCAGCTGACTGCGGCACCCTGACCGAGCTGCCCAGCCTGCAGCCCCTCCCAGACCCTGCCCCGTGGAGCCAGCGGCCCCCCCAGCGCACCCGCCTCACCTCCCAGCCTGCTGGGGTCAGCCGGGGCCCCGTCGGAGGACGAACACAGCGAGCTGGCTCTGGCTCTGTCCACAGTGACCACGCGGACCAACCTCTGGGGCCCTCCGGAAGACGGCTGGAGGGGGAAGGGACCAGGAGTCGTCCCAGCCGTCCACACAGGGCTGGGGGCCTGGCACCCGCCCCGTGGGGAATGCCAGGTGGTCCCTGGCCCTTCGGGCTGTGCCCACCGAGCAGGGAGGCAGAGGTCCTGTCAGGGCGTGTGCAGAGGCTGACGGGGCAGAGAGGACGCACGGCCCCGCCCGCCCTGATGCGCTCAGGGGGCCTCCCTGGCGCCTGGTCGGGCCAACAACTATTCTATGTGAGAACACAGTCCCGGCCTCAGAGGGAGAAGGATGGGGTGAACGGCACCCCAAGGGAGCACTGAGGACCATCTGCTCATGTCAGAGGAGTGTGCAGGCTGAGTGCCGTGCGGACCCAGGTGGAGGGCAGGTGAACGGGGCCCCTCCCCAAGTGGGACGAGAGCTGGGGGAGGGAGGCGGGGGAGGGAGGCCGGGGAGAGAGGCCGGGCCACCCCAGCAGGACCCCAGCAGGGCCCCAGTGCAGGGCGCCTCACCTTCCGGGAGGTGCTGCTCTGCAGGGCCATGTCCTGGAGGAGGGTGATGAGCAGCTGCTGAGCCCTGTGCAGGGGACAGACCCACCCAGCTGCAGGGAGGGCTTCACGCCCCAGGGCCTCTGAGACCTGCTAAGCCTCAGCCCTCTCTGCAGGTGCCAACTGAGTGTCCGGGGGTGAGCCCGGGAGACTCAGCTCCTGCCCTCGCTGCTCCAGCGTGGCCTGAGGACCTGGACTGGCCCCCCGGGGACAGCACGTGGGAACGCAGTCCCAGCCTCCCTGAGCCTGCGGGCTGAGCTCCAGGGAACTGGGGTTTGCCATGAGGCTCCAGAGGCGCCTCACCTGACACCACGCTATGGGCAGGACGGCCGATCGGGGACACAGCTCTCGGCAGGCGTGACGCTGCCTCCAGGGGGTGGCCGCTGGCCTAGCTGGCCCAGGCCCGAGGGTTCCCCAGGATATGGGCTTTCTGTGCTAAGCCAACGGTCCTCAACACTCCGGCTTGGTCACCCTGCTCCTGGGGACGCTGGCCGTGCTGGAGGTATTTGGGGTTTTCACAAGTAGGGGCACAGGGAGGCCAGGGATGCTGCTCAGTGCCCTATGGGCCCAGGACAGCCCCCCACAACAGAGGAAGCCAGCCCCAAACGTCAACGGTGCTGAGGTTGAGAAGCTCTGGCCCGGATGCTCTAGAACTGAGGTCCGTCCCTTTCACAGAGCCCCACGCAAGCAGTGAGCCGGAGGTGGCACCTGGGGACCCCGCTCTCGGGGTCTCATCACACACACTCGTTCCTGCCGGCCCACGGAGGCTGCTCTGCTCTGCACTAGGCCAGGCGGGGTCCCGCCGGCTGGGGTCGGTGCCTGGCTGCTCACCGGGCGTAGGTGGGGATGGTGCCGCGCTCCGTGTCCTGGGTGCTGTAGGGGCTGACGCGGTGGGCGCGCCAGCAGCCGCGGCCCTGGAACAGGGTGTCGGTCACGTGCAGGACGTCGCCGCAGTGCACCTGCAGCTCCCCCTCCACCCGCCCTTCGATGGCCAGGTTGACCCGGATGTAGAAGGAGTCCCCTGACGTGGCCACTTTGGCTTCCAGGTCCTGCACCAGCTTCTTATAACCTGATCGAGGAGGACAGAGGGCAGGTCAGCCGAGGCAGCAACCCTGCACGAGGAAGTTTCTAGAACGTGAAAGGAGGAGACAGAAAGTACCACCCCAAAGTCTCAGGAGCCTTTCTGGTGCTGGAGTCAGGGTGTGGGAGGTCCCCCACTGCCTGGGGTACGGTGGCTCCATAGTGAGCCAGGGGCCCACAGGGATGGGACAAGCTGGCAAGTCCCGAGAGGTGGGCTCCCGCTGGGAGGGTGTACCCTCCATGTTGACCTTCACGGACAGGCAGCAGAAGCCGTTCACCCTCCGCAGAAGTCCGATGGCCTGCTCCAGGGTCGTGTCCTCCAGGACGGCCTTGAAGGAGGGCTCGTAATCCACCTGAGGGCAAGTCACCTGGTGGGCCTCCAGCGACCGAGTCTGAGTGCGGACGTCACCTCACAGAGGAGCCGCTAGCCCCAGCCATCCAAACGCACCCCCAGAGCCTCTGTCACGGCCCCGCACCAGGACACCTGGATTCGGCTCCTCCAGGCCACACACACCCCCCGAGCCCACGCCAGCCCACGGAGCGCACGCCAACGCCACCCCCGGGGCCAGGGCCTGCTCAAAACTGGACCTGCGCCCTAGCGTTCTGGGTCACAGGCGCTCAGCTTCGGGACTGTGGACACGCGGAGCCGGGTCACTGTGTGGTGGTCGGCGCACCCCGCCTCCACCCCCAGACGCAAGGCCTCTACCCAGCTCACGGGCTCCCCCTGCCGCTCCGGTCAGTCCATGTTGCTTTAAGCTGAGGGGAGCGTGTACTTTTACGACGAGAAAAACACCAAGACGTGTCTCTAACGCTGCTGGGACTGAACCGGCCCCACCTGGGCCTCAGCATTGTCCCCCAAACACCAAGCTCTGCCACTGGAACCCCACGCGAGCTGACAGCTGAGGATCCCACGAGGGCTGAGGACCACGGAACGAAGGGCTTCCGTGTCCTGTGGAGCAGGGTTACTGGTGACGGAGCAGGAGCTCGGTTCCGGGTCACTCGAGACGGAAGAACACGGCTCAACATGTGGGCCCCCGTTCGGAGGAAGAAGCCCGTGGGGTTCACGGGACTCCTGAGCAAGGGCCTCGGCCTCCTCCCTGCCCTGCTCAGTGCCCACCTTCACCCTGCACCACCTACCCCAGCTTCCTCCCGGGGGAACGGGCAAGCCTCAGGAATGGGTGATGCCTGTTTTGGGAATTTCTTGCTATTGCTAAAAAGCTTAAAGTTCAATAGTTCTGCTTTTCGGCTACATCAAAGACCTCCCCGCACTGTCTTCACTTAATAATTAATTAAATTGCCCGGGCCAGTGTTACTCAGCGGTCAGAGTGTGGGCCCGCTGGCCACGGGGTTGCGGTTCGTCCCCAGCCTTGGTCGGTCGTGCGGGAGGCAACCAATCGATGTGTCCCTCTCATGTCGATGTTCCTCTCTCTCCCTCTCTCCTTCCACTCTGTCTAGAAATCAATGGAGAAATATCCTTGGGTGAGGATTAACCAAAAAGAAAAAACTTAAGTTGCACATTTATGTTTCCTGCAGTGCATGAATATTTCACAATAAAAAGTTTCAAAAGATGCCCACAGTGGTTAAAATGGCGAATTTTATGTTGTGTGTATTTTAACACACACACGCACACACACTGACAGTAAGTCAACCACCATTAAAGAACACAGGGCAATGAAAAGCCCCCGCTCACCATCATGATCTGGGTGCCGGGGCGCAAGGCCATCCCGTCCGCTGCCGAGCCCGGGGTGACCCGGTGAATGAAGATGCCCGTGAGGTTCCCGCCGATGACGCTTATCTGCTCCAGCAAGGCGTCCCCCTGGAAGGCCAGCGCCGTGACCTGGCTCAGGATCTTCCGGGCCGGCCTCCGGCGCACCGGGACGCTGCTGCGGGAGGGGAGGGCTCAGGTGCAGCCAGGGCTCCGCCCACCAGCCCCTGGCCAGCATTCTGGAACTCTCCATGCCCCTCCGGTTGGACCCCCCTCAGGCTGTCACCAGCTGGCTCCTCGCTGCCCCCTGCTGGCCCCGCCCTGCCCTCCGCTCACCTGGCTGAGACGCAGAGGCCCCTGGAGACCAGCTTCGGGGTGCTCCCAGAGTCCGAAAGGTCTAGGCAGAAGCAGAGCCTCAGCCCTCGAGGCCCCACCCCGGACGGAGCTTCGCTCACCTGTGCCCCTCGCCCACCAGCCGCCCACCACGGTCCCTCCACTGAGCCTCATCCTCCCCCCTGCTCACCTCCCGCAGACAGGAGGAGCTGGCGGCCAGCTGCACCTGCCAGGGTCTGACCTACGCTGTGTCCTCTGTGATATCTGAGCACTGCCCACATCTTGTGAGACAGGAAACCTGGAACCTGGACCTCTGGTTCCAGTCAAATCCGGCGGAACCTGGGGCCCGCATTTCGGTACCGACCTGCGTTTCCGCATGGCAGCGACTGCCTCCGGCTTACCCCGCCACCCCACATGCCTCCTGAAGGCCCAGCCCAGAGGGACACTCACCGGCTCTGTCTACAATCTCGTAATCCAGGTCTGTGTCGCTCGACTTAGCTCCCGGGGAGGCTCCCCAGTCCACCTCGGAGAAGCTGCAAGGAGGGAGAGGGAGCCGTTATGGCTGCATCGCCTGCTCCTCAGACCCGGCACCCGGCGCCTGCCCTGCCCTTGTCCCAGGTGAGCTGCCAGGGGACCCGTCTCATCTGGCCCGGTGCCCGGCCCTCCACCTGAAAGACCAGGAGTCTTCCCAGAGGTCCTCTGTGGCTCGCTTATACAGGGACAGCTGGCTGGGCGGCACCGGGCTGCTGGAGCGGAAGCTGTCCACCAGCTCGCGGCTGGACGTGGCGCTCAGGTCCGACCAGAGCTGAGGCTACAGCGAGGGAACAGGGTCAGCTTGGAGCTCACACGCATGCCCGCGACCCTCCGCCTGGCCCCTGCACAGGGCCCGAGGCGGGCGGGAGGGGCACACAGCCAGGGCCCTTCAGTTGAGCGCCTGCTGTACGCCAGCCCTCCAGCAGCTGCCTCCTGAATTTTACATCTCTCAGGCCTCCCGATAAATCTGCGGAATGGGCAGTATGGTCCCGTTTTACACATAGTGACCGAGGTCCTGAGAGACCAGTGGTCATGTGCTGTCGGTGTAACATGCACGACGCTAGTGGGGGCCTGAGGACGCCAGGTGGATAGTGTGGCCTGGACGCAGCCCCTGTCCACGAGGTCTCTGCAGCGTCCCTGCGGGCGGGGCCCCGTCTGCGCCCTGTCTGCCCCAGCAGTGGGCCCGCGGTACCTCCGAGGAGCTGCAGTCGCTGTCATCCCTCGGGCCGATGGCGAACATGCGCACCAACCGCTGTTTTTCCCTCCGATAGGGCTCCCGGGGCCCCGCGTCCTGCTTGGGCTGCAAAGGCACCGGGAGGGCGGGCCGGTTAACTCAGGACAGGTCCCCTGGGGTGCCTCAAGGTTTCTACCTGGTCACCACGCTCTGTCGTCGGCTTCCAGACAAAACGACTGTCCCCTCCTCCCAGCGTGGGACCCCTGGCTGACCACCAGGACGCTGCATTCTGTTAGAGGGCACGCGTGGTTCCTTACTGGTTACACAGACGGTACATCACGTATGCACGCTGTGTCTATGCACACGGCACACAGAAAATGGTGGGGGCAGACCAGTTAGGGAAGGAAGATTCTCCCCTCCTCTGACGTGCAGATACAGCAGGTGGCGGTGTGCAGTCTGTGTGTGTGTGTGTGCATGTGCGTGTGCGCACACGTGTGCGTGTGTGTGTGTGTGTGCATGTGCGCGTGTGCATGTGTGTGTGCACAGTGACCATGGCTGACGTGGGGAGGGGGAGGAGGAAGGGCTGGGGCCTGCACAGGGGAGGGTCCGGCTCGGCCTCCCACCGGGTGCCGGGAGCTGCCGGCAAGACCAGAACAGATCTCACAGTAGGTTTAGCTCAGCTCGGCCTGCTCTCTCTCCTCATCCCAACACCACACTTGAAAGGCCCCAGACCTCCTGGACTCCCCTTCCAGGACGAGCACGGCCCCACCGTCAAGGGAGCGGCGGAGTCGCCTCAGCTGCCACTGTGCATCTCCGATGCCAACCCGGCTCGGCTCCCACCGCACCCACCCACGCACAGCCTGCCCGGGCCCAGCCCTGCGCCCCGCTCCGGGCCCACGGCAGGGCGGGCTCACCCGCTGCGGCGACGCGGCCTGCAGCCTGCGGAGATGCTGGCGCAGGCCGCAGACCTGGTCGGTCAGCTCAAACACCTCCCTGCGGAGGGCGTCCTTCTCCGTCAGGCTCTGAGAGATCTCCACCTGGGCCTTGTCTCTGGCTGCGTAGGCCTGCGGGCCAAGACACAAGGACGCCCGGAGCATGAAGGGGCCGGGGAGGCACGGGGGCGCCCGGCAGAGAAAGGCCACAGGTGGTAACGGCAGACCGAGGGAGGACAGACCCCAGAGCTGGCACCAGCTGCCACGGAGGGCAGGGCGGCGGCCCCCAGCACAAGCACGCGCGAGGCGGGGGCTCCCGGGACAGCTGCCGCCCCCGCCCCCCCACCTGCCCCCGCCCCCCGCACCTGGTCCCGCTCCTTCTGCAGCCCGGCCAGCTGGCTCTGCAGGGCGGTCATCTTCTCCCGGTAGATCTCGCAGTCCACCTTCGACTTCTGGAACTGCAGCAGGGTCTGCTCCTTCTCCTCCCAGTACTGGACAGAGGGGACAGAGCCCGTGGAGTCGGCTGGGTGGGTGGGGAGCCCCAGGGGGAGCACAGTGGTGCCGAGGAGAAACAGGCGAATCCCCATTCTCTCCCTACCCGACTTCCAGGACCACTGAGAGTCCCTGCGCTCATCACCGGAGCTCCACACCCAGCACCCGCCAGGCTGCCGCACCTGCGGTGGTTCCATTCTTCCCGAGTCCCAGGGGGCACCAACACTTCCCCTCTGCCTGCCTCCCTCACATCCGCAACAGGAGTCAGCAGAAATAACACGCCCCTCGGGCAAGCTCGGTCCTGCCTCGGCATGGACTAGAGGGTCACCTGCTTTCGCTGCCTCTCGGCCGCCACCGCCCGCTCCCTCAGGGAGTGGATGCGGTCTACCAGCTCCTGCTTGCTGTCCAGGGCCTCGTCCAGGCTCTGCTCCAGAATGTCCTTCTCCACCTGGTGCAAGGAGAGGTCAGCCCAGGCCCTGCCTCCCACGTGCCGGCCCGGGGAGACTGGGCGTGGCTGAGTTCAGGGACGACTGCCCACTCGGGAGGGGCAAGGCGTCAGGTGGGAGGGCTGCCCGTGGGGTCTGCTGTGCGTGGCTGGTTGAGATGGAAAATGCTGGAAGCTGAGGATCCTCAGGGTGAAAGCTCCCGCTGGAGTCTCCTGGCGCTCCCTCTGCAGCAGGGCTGTGAGCTCGCCACCCAGGCGTGTGGCGCCGGGCCCTGCGCCCAGGGGACGCCTATTGGACGGACAGCTCAAAAGTAGGCCCTTGTTGACTCAGAGACAGAAGGGGAGCTCGGGGCTTGCATGCTTCCAGGGCGCTGGGCATCCCTGACCCCTCTGCGCCCTGGAATTCCCGCTCTCCAGCAGCATAGTTTGTAGGCACACAGGTGTCTCTCCCTGTCCCCCCAACTTTAAAATGAACCCTATTACTTGTAACCAGCCCGATCCACTCTGAAACAGCATGGTTGTAGCAGAGGAGCTGAGCGGACGTCCTGGTCATTCTGCCAGCACTGGGCCGTCACTAGGTCCCCATCACTAGGTCCTTAGCCACACCTCAGCGGGAGCCTGTGGGCATCCCAGGGTCCGGGGGCCACGGGGAGGAAGGGGACCATGCTAGGGGGCACCAGGACCTACCAGGCTGAAAGTCAGGGAGCGGAGTTTCTCGTTCTCCTCCTTCAGGCGGCTCAGCTCCTCGGCTCCAGGCTCCAGGCCACCGGCCATCTTCAGGGACCGCTCTCGGAAGTCCCGCTCACAGGAGGCCGACAGCCGCTCTCGCTGCAGCTCCTGCTTCATCAGGTACAGCTGCCGGGAGCAGAAGCACGGGAGGGACGCTGGACAGCGTGCCCTGGCCAGGCCCAGGCCCAGGGAAACGCGCACGCACGTGTGTGCATACGTGCTCATATGTGTGTATATACATATGTGTGCACATGCATGTGTGTGTGCGTGCACATGTGCAGAGACAGAGAGCGTACTTGTAAACTAAGGCCCAGGAATGTCCTCTGTACTACTATATTTGTAGATTTTTAAAAAATAAATTTGAAATTATTTCTAAAAAAAGTTAAAAATTAAAGAAAAAGCAATGCCATACATAGTTAAGCCAAAAAGCAAACGCCCAAACAATAAGAGATGAACATTGAAAGACCTGCCGCCGATCACTAAGATAATGATCCGCAACGGAACAGTGAGTCAAAGACATTGTTGGGGTTTGAGAGGGGGCTCCTAATAACACCCCCGTCCCCCTGCCCAAGTCCAAAACCAGCTCAGAGGCACAAGGAGGGGCGATTAAGGTCCACTGTCCCCGGGGTATCAACAGCTGGTGGGTCCACTGCTTCTGAGCCCAGAATGGCCAGACCCACCCAAACACTGGTGGGTGGTCCCCCCACAGTGGCCTGTCACAGACCAGCCAGGCCTTGGGGAACGACAGGGCAGGCTCGATGCACGGAGGCTACAGGAAGGGGAACTGGTGGTGAAGGCAAAGGGTCAGCTTCCTTCAGGGGTGGCTCAGCCAAGGCTGGTGGGAGGGAAGGCGCCCAGGCGGAGGGGGACGGGCAGGCACCTCCTCCTGCAGGCCGCGGCAGCGCGTGGTAGCCAGCTCCTTCTCCTGCAGTGCGTTGCTGTGGTGCAGTGACAGGCTGAGCATCTCGTCCTTGAGCTTCAGCACCTCGTGGAAGTGGGCGCTGACCTCGCGCTTCATGCGGCTGTGGTCCGCCTCCAGCTGCTGCAGGCTCTCGGCACGCGCCTCGGCGTGGCCCAGGCGCTCCTGCAGCCGCTGGCACTGCCGTGCCAACGCCTCCTTGTGCCCCTTCTCCTGGCTCAGCTCCTCCTGCAGGCTGCTGATGGCCCCGGCCAGGCACTCGGTCAGCTTGGACGTTTCCATGAGCCCTGGGGGAGGCCTGGGCATCACACCTCACCCCCTTCCTGTCCTCTAGGACACTGCTTCCTGCACCCACACTCTCGAGAGGACCCCACCCTGGTCTGTCTCCTTCAAGTCTTCCAGGCTGAACTGCACTTGAGATTTTGCACAAGGAGTACCCAGTCTTGGCTTCCCTGTGCACCCCCCTGGTTCAGCCCCCGGGTCCCCTCCTCAGCCCAGATGTGCTCCGTGCTAACGCACTTCAACGTCATCCTAAGAAAATAACAGATCTTCATAAGAGATCTGCAAACGCAGGCGTGGCCCGCAGGCCGGAAAGGCAGACCTGTCTCCCGCGCGGTTTCCAGGGGTGTCTGCCCTGCTGCTCTGAACACCCAGACTGCTCAGCACCCCCTGGGGAAGCCTGCGGTTGCTCAGTGCTGAGACCGGTCTCAGCCGCCCAGCCGGAGTGAACACTTCCTGGCAGGCGCCTCTGCTCAGGACTGGCTGCCCCCCACCCGGCACGGGCCCCCTGCAGGCCCAGAGCTCTTCCAGGGGAGGACACGTCCCCTCTGCCCGCCCCCGAAGGCTCTCCCTTGGTGTGGCGAGTTAGGGACGGACGTTTCCTTTTAGAGCCCAAGGCCAAGGGCTCCTTCCCCACCTGCCCACCCGCCACAGTCAGTGGGGGGGTCTCTCACCCACAGAACACTGGAGGGGGCACAGGGACGGAACCTCTGCCTGACGGTGTCAGGAAAGGTGTCGGGAACAGCGCGCCAGCCAGGCGGGACCCCGGCGGCTACACGGACACCCAGCTCTGGTCCAAGGCCAAGCGCTCACCACTGAAGGCGCTGACGTCCACGTCGGGCTGCAGCCCGGTGACCAGCGTGTAGACGTCGGGGTTGTGGAACTTGAGACTCTCCAGGAAGGCCAGGGCCCCGTTCTTCCCGCGCGTCCTCAGCAGATCCAGCAAGTGCCCTTGGGGGACAGAGCAGTCTGGCTACCCAGGAGCCGGACAGGCTTCCCCATGGGGGGATCCCTGCACCACGAGGAGCCAGGACCCCAGGGGTGGGGCGCACACTGGCTCCTTCGGCCCTCCTAGTGGGAGCGTCTCGAGAAGGGCGAGGCTGGTATTTACTGAGCAACTGCTACGACCCAAGTGCTGAGTCGGAGGTAAAAGACTAAAGGAGACGACCTGCTCTCCAGACCTGCCAGGCTGCTGGGGCACGCGCAGGTGTGTGCCCCTCGCGCAGGTGTGTGCCCCTCGCGCGTGGGAGGGAGGGTGCCAACAGCAGCTACTGTTTGAATCAGTAGCCTGGGCTCATTTCTCCTGCGTTTGAGGTTCACAGGCAGCAGGCCCGGGCTCTGAAACCAGTGTCTTATAGACAGAAAGGACTCAGTTCTCCGGACAGCCTCGGAGGTGGCGCTGTGAGCCATCCCGCTTTGAATGGACACACAGACCGTCAGTGCCCACGCCGCAGACGTGGAACAGGCTGCTTCGTGGCCCCCAAGGTGTGTCCACCTGGAACCTGCCAGTAGGACCGTGTTTGGAAAGTGGGTCTTTGCAGATGTCATTAAGTTACGAACCTCGAGGGGAGAGCATTCTGCGTAATCTGGGTGGGCCCTAAACCCAATGACAAGTGTCCTGCTGAGACAGGAGGAGAGACAGAGAAGGCCACGTAGGACAGAGCAGAGGCTGGAGGGATGGGGCACGGGCTGAGGAATGCCTGGGGCCACCAGGAGCTGGAAAAGGCAGGAAGGACCCTGGCCTGCGCCCTCAGAGGGAGCGTGGTCCTGCCCACACCTCCATCTCAGACCTTTAGTCTCCAAACTGAGAGAATTCGTTTCTGCCGTTGGAGGCCTCCCCACTTCGTGGTCACTTGTTACGGCAGCCCCGGGGAATGGAACACAGGGTCCCCAGGTCTGGAGCTCGGGTCCCTCGGCCTCCGCCGGGCAGAGGCCGGGGGCGGGGCCCAGGGCCGGCGCGCAGTCTGGGGGCGGGGCCCAGGGCCGGGCAGAGGCCGGGGGCGGGGCCCAGGGCCGGGCAGAGGCTGGGGGCGGGGCCCAGGGCCGGTGCACAGGCGGGGGGCGGGGCCCAGGGCCGGGCACAGGCGGGGGGCGGGGCCAGGGCCGGCGCGCTCACCGGCTCTCATGGCGGAGTTGGTGAAGCGGGGACTGTGCAGCACCTCCTCCTCGTCCAGCTGGCTCAGCACGCGGGCCTGGCGCAGGTAGGGGGTGAGGCGGCTGGGGCACACGCTGCGCACGATCCTGGCGCGGTGGCCCTCCGTCAGCTCCCACAGCGTCTCCTCGTCCAGCGCGGTCAGCGCGGAGTGCGTGCGGCACAGCTCTGCCATGGCCGGGGCCCTGCCCTGCCCGGAAAGGGTGGACGGAGGGCTGGAACCGGTGCCGCGGCCCCCTTCAGACCACCTCTCCCCACGCCACCGGTAGGGTAGGAAACGGCCGATTGGGACGAGGACACCAGCCCTGGTCCTGGTGTCCTGTGACCTGCGGATGGGACATCAGTCTGGTGCCCGGGGCAGAGCGAGACCTGGGTTTCTCCTGCGCTCGGGGGCCTGGGGTTGCCTCTGACATGCAGGCGGCTGCCCCCGTCCAGACCGCTACTGACCTAGGAGGTAGGTCTAGGCAACACATTCTAACGGGGTGGGGGGGTGCAGCCCCGGGGGCCGGAGGTTGGATCTCCTCTGCGTGTACAGCACAGGTGGGCGTCCACAGGCGGCAGCACACCTGTGACGCCGACATCACGTGGCAGGGCGTGGAGGGAGGAGATGCCTGCAGAGGCTCCTTAGGGTGATGGCGAAGCCCTGAGACGCAGCCCTAGGGCGAACGTGAGGTTGCTGGAACTGGCCCCAGAGGCAGTGCCCCGGGTCCACATCGCGGGGTGCGAGTGGGGTGATCCGTGGGAAGCAGGGCTGGGGCACGGGCGCTCACACAGAGAGCATCCTGCTGTACTTGGCACGGTGGACACCTGACACTCGCGCTGAGACCCTGGGAAATGGGTTAGGGGACCGACTCTGTAGACGCACAGCCTGGGGGTAAGCAGTCAAGGCCACGCCCCTTGGCTGGAGGGGTGCTGGGATCTCAGATGGCTGGTGTCCAAGGGCTGAGCTGCAGCAAGCCTGGCAGACCCCTGGCTGGGTCCCAGGCTCCAGGTCTCCTGGGGCATGTGCCTGAAGCAGCCCATCACCGGCCCAAAACGTCAGCTCTCAGCTCTCCGAGCGGCATGCTGACTACTGGAATCCAAGCCCTCTGTGGGGAGGACCTCCGAGGGCTCCGCTCAGCCGCCCTCCCAGCTCGCCCTGGGCCCGCCCTGTCCGGCCACTGGGACAGCTTTGCTCCTCCCACTCATCTCTTCCCCGTGTGAGGTCTTCAGCCCATGACCCATCTACATCCTTCTACAATGGTTTTACACTGTGCATGTTTCAGGCACATAAAAAAGCCCTGCAGCCCGGCCGGTGTGGCTCAGTGGAGGGAGCGCCGTCCCAGGGACTGAGAGGTCCTGGTTCGATTCCCGGTCAGGGCACATGCCCGGGTTGTGGGCTTGATCTCCAGTCAGGGATGTGCGGGAGGCAGCTGATCGATGTTTCTCTCACATTGATGTTTCTATCTCTCTCTCCCTTCCTCTCGCCCTAAAAAAATCAATAAAAACATTTTTTCAAAAGCCCTGCACATGGCAGGACAGTCAGTCACACCCCCACCTCGCACGTCCAACCCGCACTAGCACTTTGGACCTCAGACGCCTTCGTAAGGAAACACGTCGTTAGAGAAGCTCAGTCCTGTGCTGTCCCCCTCCCCTCCCTCCGCTCAGCCAACGTGGGGACAAACACAGCACTTGGCGTGATTCTATGCAAACAGTAACTTCACACGGCGCCTCTACTGTCGACTGTACAGCAGCTGTCCCGCTGGGCGGGGCACCACCTCCGCAGGTGTTCCGGGTTTAGCACACGGATACATATGGCTACATAAACCTTTTTTAACGGATTCAATTATGTGAATGAGGCACAGTCCGTTTAGCAATGGGCCTGTGGCTGGGTATTACGTTGTTTCCACCTTTTCTCATCACACTCCGTGCTGCCAGTGTCCCTGTGCACAGGTGGGCACAGGTAGGTGTTTCTCCCGGACCCAGGAATCCCCGTGATTTGGTTCTTTTCACTGGGATGACACCGCACCGGTTGCCACTGAATGCCTTCAAGGCGTGGACACTGACCATGCTCCAAAACCAGAGCGAGTCAACCGTGTAAACTGGGGAGAGTGGGAAACAGCTGTCGGAGGGTCCTTCTCCGTGGACAGCCCCCCACAATCCACCCGTGGGGCCCGGTCCACAGCGTGCACTCACCAAGAGAAGCGTCCGCTTGTCCACGCAGGAGCTGGTCAGGGGGCGATGGGCCCGGTGTCTCCTCCTGGCTGCAGGACCCCGGGCAGGACCGGGCCGGGCAGAAGAGCCTGCCAAACCACTGCGAGGTGATCTGACGACTACTTCACACCATGTGACTTGCTCCAAAACTCAAAGTTCAGGCCCCCAAAGACTAGTGCAAGGAGGGGAAAAAGACAAACTTTGATCCAGGAAACAAGAGACAGATCTTTCACCCAGGGTTTGCTCAGTAAACATAGCAACCTCCTCGGCACTCGAAAGAGAACTGGGCTCTGAGGCCCCGGACACCCAGGGGAGCTGGCAGGTGCCGTGTGCTGTGGGCGCCCTGGGCCCCTCACCACGTGGCCAGACCCATGGATACCTCCCCCCAGTGTCCCTGGGAGAGGAGCCCGAGGGAGGCCTGCTGGACAGGCGGGCAGGTGAGTCAGGGGGGCAGGCCCTCCAGGAGGCCTGTCTCGCTGCCCTTTGTTGGTTCATTCCTGGTTTCTTAAGGGGACAGTTAATGGATGCTCATGAACCAGGGTGTTGTGGGTTGAGTGGTGTTCCCCCAAAAGATATGTTGATGTCCTGATCCCCAACACTTGAGTGTGACCCTTTTTTGGAAATAAGGTCATTGCAGATGTAACCAGGTTAGGATGAGGCTATTAGGTTGAGCCCACATGCTATATGATGGGTGTCCTCGTGAGAAGCGACCCAGACACACAGCGGGTGCCAGGTGACAACCAACGCAGGCTGGCGGGCCCAAAGGCTGTCGGCAGCAGCAGAAGCTCAGAGGGTGGGGACAGCTCTCCCAGGTGCTCAGAGGGAGTGGCCCTGCTGACACCCTGACTTTGGACTTCTGGCCTCGGGGTGGGGGCGGGGGCAGCTGGACGAGGACCCTCTCATATGCAGGCCTCGAGAGCCCAGGCGCAGACCAGGGATGGCAGGGGCTGCTGAGCTGGGGAAAGTTCTGAAGAGCCAGGGGAAGGGGCAGGAGCTGGGTGCTCAGCTCTGCGTCAGTGGGGAAGGCGGCGGCCGCTCACTCCTGGGACAGGGTTTCTCAACTCCACTTAACACAAGACAGCGCAGCACCTCTATGAAGCCCTTACGGCCCCCAGACTTGCTCAGCAAACAGCCACTGTGAAAGGTCCAACTGTGACCACAAGGCCTTCCTGAGACTGCAGCCAACGGCCCTGGATGAGCTTGGGTCCGAGAAGTCAGTGACCCCCAAATTCGAGCTAAATATTGATTTTTGTTTTTAGCAAATCACACTCCAGCACGGTCTCTGGTATCATAGTATCGCCTTGTTGCCAAGGGGCCACAGGGCCAGCCCGAGACCCTGGGCGTCCTGACGACCGCCTCCGAGGCCCGCTGCCCCTGCCTTCCTGCTGGGCGGGTCCGGAGTCCCACTGCCAGCCCCACCCCCACTGGCCTCCTGTGGACGGTCTCAGAGCACCTGCCTTCTCAGAGCCCCTCCCATCAAGGTGAGCTCAGAAAGCCAGGGCCCGCTCAAGCCAGAAGCTGCCTTGCCTGGGCAGCTGAAGACAGAGGTCTCTCCAGGACTCTCTAAACCCCACCCAACTGCCCCTGGCTCCTGGGCCCCCGGAGCCACTCAGGGTTTGGGTGTAAGTGGGCGCAGCCCAGGGGCAGCCACTCTCGCCCACCCTCCCTTCAGAGGACCCCACCTGGCAACAAAACCGTGAGGGTTTCCTTGCAACTCAGCACCAGTTTGAACAGGGGTGAGTCCTATCCTGCTAGTAACGAGGGCGCAGCCCAGATCCTAAGGGTGTTTTGAAATCCGCAGAATTCTTAACCTACAGCAACACGACGCCGGGCTGAAGATCACCAGAGTCCCAAGTTTCTGCGATGTGGGTCCTCCTGTTTGGCCCCTCCCCCATCAACATTCTTCTCGTACCCCAGGGTTGTCTCGCCTGTGAAGTGGGGAGGGGAATGCACGCGCACACGCACACGCACACGCACACACAGGGCTCCAGAGCAGGAAGGAGTGCCTTAGAGAACGCTTAGGGGATGGACAGTCACAAATGTGATGGGTGAGGCGGATGGGCCCCAAGCACAGAAGGAAGAAGTGCCCCTTGTGCTCCTCAGCTCCAGTCTGGCACCAAAGTGCCACTTTCCGTGTCTGCTCTGCCCGCACCACGAGCAGGCAGCTGGTCCTCCGTGCTCCACACCTGAACCTGGAAGCCTCCTCACCCTTCTTTCATCCTGGGCAACGACGCGGACATCGGAGCCCAAAACAGAGCATCCTCCACCCAGCATGGCCCAAACTGTCCTGCGTGAAGGCGAACTTTGCCAGAGCGCTCGTGTAACTCAACCAAGCGAAAAACAGTCCACAAAGCAGGCACCACGCCCTTCTCAGGAGGAAGCCGGGCTTTCCCCCGCCCCTGCCCCAGGACAGTCCTCAGACCCCATTCGGGGCCTGTCCACCCTCCCTGGGTGCTGACCTGCGCTCCTCAGGACCGACTCCATGCTGCCCGTCCTGGTCCTCCAGGAGGGACGACCGTGACAGTCTCTGACAGTCTCGGCTGAACAGCAGCTGACGAGCAGGTCTGACAGGCATCTCCGCCCCGCCCCGCCCCGCCCAGGGAAGTGACACTACGTGGGCCTCCCCGCCTCAGAGCCCAGCACACGCCCACAGCAGGCTGGCACGTGCAGTTTGAGACCCGTGGGAACCTTGTGGAAATGGCCCGCACACCTGGCCTCGGCATGGGGGAGACCCTCTCGTTTGTGACGGTCAGCCGGGTCCGTCACCGATCCCTCAGACCACGTCGGGACCGCCAGGACCCGTCTGGAGTCCCTCCAGTTCTCACGGTCCGCATGGGACATCTCTAAGCAATTCCAGCAGACCCGTCTGGAAATGGGTGATGGTCACTGCTCCACTCTGGTGGTGGTCTCGGTTCTCCTCCGCGAACGCACAGCAAACCCTGGATTTTCCAGACCTCCATCTCACAGACGGGATTTAACGGACACAATTTCTGGTCTGTAGGTCATATGTGAAAAGTAACACCCTGTTAATTTTATAATAGGTTGAATCAAGATTTTCTCATCATGAAATGAACAGCCCTGGCAGGTGGGACTCGGTGGTTAGAGTCTCGGCCCACGGACCAGAGTTGTGGATTTTATTCCCAGTCAAGGGCACGTACCTCCATTGCAGTTTCGATCCCTGGCCCCGGCTGGGGTCACGAGGGAGACAAACAACCGATGTGTCAATGAACAGGTTGTTTTTGTTATTAGTTCACTGTTATTTCTAACACAGTTCAGTGAACAGGCTGTATGTTGGGAAAACTTGTAGTTCTGCTGACGTAAGTAAATATCACACACCTACAGCTATAGCATACATATTTATTTACTTTTAATTTAATTTTTTTGTTAATCCTCACTTGAGGGTATTTTTCCATTGATTTTTAGATAGAGTGGGAGGGAGGGAGGGAGGGAGGGAGGGAGGGAAAGAAATGTCGATGTGAGAGAGACACATCCATTGGTTGTCTCCCGAATGACCCCAACCAGGGCTGGGGATCAAACCTGCAACTGAGGTGTGTGTCCTTGACTGGGAATTGAACCCGTGACCCTTTGGTCCGTGGGCTGATGCTCTAATCGCTGAGCCAAGCTGTCCAGGATGAGTCTACATATTTAAATCCGAGAGTCACTGCTCATCAACCACACTGGGTGACGATGAGCCCGAGAGCACACGGCACCGTCTGTGTCTTTCCGGGGCAGCTTTAACCGGAGCCCGCTGTGCTCACACTCCAAGCCACGTCCAGCTGTGTGCATCTGCTGACTCATGGTGACGGGTGAACACACCTGTTCACTACACCTACTCAGTGTAAATTCAAAATTACAATAACACGTACACAAAACTTTCCTGTGAAATTAAACTTTTCATACATGCTTAATTTTAATTATATAAATGTATCTACATAGGTACAAACAGGTAGCCTGGCTGGTGTTGGCTCAGCGGATTGAGCACAGTCCCATGGACTAAGAGGTCCCGGTTCGATTCCCGGTCAGGGCACATGCCCAGGTTGTGGGCTCCATCCCCAGTGGGAGGATGTGCAGGAGGGAGCAGATCAATGTTTCTCTCTCACATCCATGTTTCTTTCTCTCTGAAAAAAAAATAAAAAACATTTAAAAATAAAAACAGGTAAACTAATTAGTCAATTTTTTTAACATACATACTTGGTTATATAACGGACACCGCTTCGCCAGAATCCTTCCATCCTATGGAAGTTTTACTGTACACCCAGAACCCACACCTGCTGGACACCTGCATGGCTGTGCCTGGTCAGCACCTAGCTGGACCCTGCAATGATCTCTTAGCTGCCTCCCATGGTCCCCATAGCCAGTTCTCAACACAGCAGGCAGAGTGACCCTATACAGGGGGGAGGGTCCTGTCATGTCACTCCCTTTGGGCAATAAGCCCCCGTGTCCTCACCATAACCCAGGCACGAGGGCCTGCTTATCTTGAGCTTGCAGACCTCACCCCTCACCTGCTCTACACACAGGGGCCTCCTTGCTGGTCTGGTGTTCTGTGCATGTTCCTGCCCCAGGACCTTTGCACTTTCCATTCTCTGGGCCTGCAATGTTCTTTCCTTCACCTCCTTCAGGACTCCACTCAAGGCTACCTTCCCAGAGAAGCCTTTCCAGGCCATTCTATTTAACATCATAGACACCTCACCCCCTTTTCTGGCTCATTTTTCCGTACTGGACCCATGACTCCCTGGCGTACTGTGTGTTCTGATTCCTTGCCCACCTCCCCACTATGAGCCTGTCGCCTCCAGAGGACAGGAACTCTTTGTCTTTCTGTTGTGGAGCCAAGGTGCCTTCATCCTGGGGCACCATGCACTCCTCTCCCCGCACAAGGACCCCCTGAAGTGGCTGCCAGGACAGCCGAGATGCACGGAGGCTCCACTGCATTGTCTGTAAGACCTTTCCTGATCTGCCCGTCACCCTCCTCCCGCTCCCCACTGTGCCCACATCTGTGATGCCACAACCACACTGGCCTTCCATCCCTTGATCATGCCAACCTACTGCCCATCTGGGGGTCTTCGAACTCCTGGCCCCCCTTCCTAACACTCCTCCCAGGGTGTTACTGTGGCCACGCCCTCTCACAACTCCGGTGGCCCTTCCTCGCACCACCGGTGTCCATGACCCACGGCCCTCTTCCCTGTGCCTCGTTCCATTCGCATTACTGACGATGTAAACACTGCATCAGCTTACTGCTGGGCACGTTCTGCAGGCTTGCCCTTTTCCGGAACACAGCCTGGGAGGGCAGCGCCGTCTGTCCTGTTCACACCCAGCCCAGAACCTCGGAGATGCTCCGCACACGTCTGCTGCCCAGACGGCCGATGCCAGTCGGGTGGGGTCAGGCCGGACAGGCTTCATGGGCTGCGCCACCAGGTGAGTGGGTTGGAGAGGGCCGCACCTAGAAAGGAATAGTGTTTGCCATTGAGAACTAGGTAATGGGTGGGGTTTCTGGCAGGAAGTCCCTCCTCGGGGACAGCCCCTCTGATCCAGGACATCACCTTCTGTGGTGATGACTCATGGAAACCAGACCAGCCCAGGAACACTACACGCAAACCTCCTCCTGCCCAGGACAAGACGAACCACCTTGACCGTCTACACCCCAAGTCCAGCCTGGGCCGGAGAAAGCAGGTCAGGAGGAGCAGCCCACAGAGCCATCCTGTCTCCCCAGCACTCCAGCCTGAGCTCCGGGGGCTCCTGGACAACCAGGCACACCTACTGTGCACTAGGCCAGCCAAGGGGACACGGCCCTCCCTGAGACTAGTGCACACAGGTGAGGTGACCTCCTCCCCACATATAGAGGGTGTGAGAAGTGAGGCGCAGGCGTGTCTGTCTGTGTTTTGAGGGATGGGTATCTAAGCTGACTCAACTTACCACAAGGACCCCAAGGAAGACAGTCTGCTTTGCTCCCCATTGTTCCCGAGAGCACCGTTCCCCAGGAGACTGCACCGACACCTGTCCCACCCCTCAGCTCCACCATTTTCATGACTCTGCCCTAAAAAGGTAAAAGATTATTGGTGTCAAACAAAAGGAAGAGGTCTCTGAGATGTGTATTCACAGCGAAAGAAACATTGTCAGAAAATGGCCTAAAATGTCACAGAAGCGTTGTGATGGCTCATGAGTGAGGTTAGGCCCTGGGCCCGGGCTTGAGTAGGAAAGGCCAGTGATTTCTCTCCACCCTTCCTCACTCCGGACCTTGCCGCCCTGTGCTCTCTCCACCCCCGGAGCGCTGTGAAGTCCTTTCAACAGCACTGCCAACAGGACTATCACCAGAGTGAAAATGTTTCTGTAACGTAGCAATATTTTAACAGTAAAAAGAAACAAATGAACTTAAAGTAACATTTAACTCGCCCTGGCAAGTTTGCTCAGCGGTTAGAGTGTTGGCCTGCGGTCCAGAGAGACCTGGGTTCGGTTCCCGCTAAGGGCATGCACCTCGGTTGCAGTTTGTCCCCGGCCCTGGTTGGTCGTGCGGGTGGCAACCACTCAATGTGTCCCTTTCATGTCAATGTTTCTCTCTCTCCCTCCCACACTATCTGAACAAAATATGGAAAAATGTCCTCGGGTGAGGATAAAAAAAAATAAAGTAACATTTAACTCAGTATATCTAAAATATTCTCCTTTCAACATAAAAACAATGTAAAAATTACAGAGATTTCACAGAATGCTTTTCTTTTCTTTGTTAAGCCTCACCCGAGGATATTTTTCCAATGGTTTTTTTTTAGAGTGGAAGGGAGGGAGGAAGAGAGATAAAAAATAAACATCGACGTGTCTAGACCCATCAATTGGCTGCCTCCCAGACAACCCCTGACCAGGGCCGGGGATCAAACCTGCAACCCAAGTACGTGCCCTTGACTGGAAATCGAACTCAAGACCATTTGGTCCACGGGCTGACGCTCTAACTGCTGAGCCAAACCAGCCAGTGCAACATTTTCTTACACTGTCTTTGAGGTTTGCATTTTACAACACAGCCCTTGAGCACGGCTTACAAGACAGTGTGTGTGCAACCTCACAGGAGGCGCTGGGTAACCCTGTGTGCTGGGGAGACTGAAGAACTTACATTTCTCTTTATTTTAAAGACTAAGAAAGAATCATGGAAGTAGGGAACAGACTGACAATACACAGAGGAATGGGGGGGTGGGAGGGGAAGGAAAAGATAAACCAAATAACGGCTTATATGCATATACACACAACCAATGGACACCGACACTAGGCTGGGGAAGGCAGGAAGGGGGTGGGAGAGGGTCAATGGGGAAAAAGGGGGGATATCGGTAACACTTCCAACAACAAAAAAGTCTAAAAGATAAAGCCAAAAAAAGAAACTTAGCTTTATAAACATTTACTAATTAACACAGGCAACCTTGCCAAGCACGCTTATTGGGTCAATTCTCTTGCAAGGGCTGGACCTGTTCTGACGGCAGGGTGAGTGTCCCGGGAACAAACCCTCAGGAACTTGCGTGCAGGCCATCAGCCTGTTACAACCCGGTCACTGGTGCCTGGTTTGGTGGACGAACCGACTCTGCTGCTCTAACTACACCACAGCAGGAGGGAGCTCCGGCGCTCCAGGCCAGGGCCCTGCATGAAGGACGTGCCGAGTGATGGAGCCAGAGCAGTGGGAGGGCAGTGGTCACCGGCACCAGATTCTCAGACAACAGAAGGAACGGGCCAGGCGGAGGGCGGTTCAGCGCCCGGGTGGGTGCTGCAGGAGGCGCGGGTACTTAGTTAGGGAAGCGCAGGGTGAGTTGGCACAACTGGTTGTGTTGGCAGCACAACGCCATCGCCTCCGGGGTCCTCTCTGCAGGGCAGGGGCCCGTCCGAGGCCGGGAGGGGGCGCGCCCCGCGGGTCAGGCGGCCCGGCCCCTGTGCGGCGGACGTCGGAGGACCGGTGTCCGCTCCCCCAGGCGTGGCCTCTGTCTCCACACTCGACTCCGTAGGCGGTTAAAAGCGGGCCACCGAATCGGAGCCGTTTCCAGGTTTCCCGAGGAGACACGTGCAGCGCGGGCTGCCGTCGGGCATCAGCGGCACCGACAGGCAGCGCGTTTCCCACGCTGTGCCCGGCGCCCTCCGCCCGCCTACAGGCGAGAGGACGTGCGTAGGTTCTCGTTCGAGGCAGGGCCGCCTGGGGACCCCACCCGGAGCAGGGCCGCCCTGGCCCCGCCGGAGCGGAGGCCCCGCTAAAGCAGCGACGGCGCCTCACCACGAATCGCCGGCTCCAACCACACGGAACTTCGGAGCCGCGCTGCCTCCGCGGCTTTTATAGGGCTGAGCGAGGTCCCGCCCCTCGCGAGATCCTGCGAGAGTTCACGTCTCGCAAGAGCACTAGCAGCACCGCCCCTTTTCCTGCAGCCAGCTCCCGGTCCTCTTCCACGTGACGAGGAGCTCCCCGCCCCTCCCCAGGCACGGCCCCGACGCACGCTCGTACGCACGCACGCAGGCGCGCGCGGTGACGTCCTTCCTGTCGGCGGCGGCTGCGCGGGGCCCCGCTTCCGCTTTCGCTGCGGCGCGCGCTCCGCTTTCAGCCGACGCGGGATCATGGCGGCCACCACCACGATGGCGAATTCGGGCTCGGCGCGCAAGCGGCTGCTCAAAGAGGAAGACATGACCAAAGTGGAGTTCGAGACGAGCGAGGAGGTGGACGTGACCCCGACGTTCGACACCATGGGCCTGCGGGAGGACCTGCTTCGCGGCATCTATGCCTACGGTGGGTGGGCGCGGGCCCGGGGCGCGGGCGAGGGGGGCGCGGGGCGGGAGCCAGTGGACGCGAGCCGGGGGGAGGGCGGGGCCCGGAGCCCCCCCCGCCGGGCCGGACGCCGGGGCCCGGAGCCCAGGCCGCGCGTGGCGACCCCCGCCCCCAGCGCGCCGTCATCACTCCGCGCCCGGGGTCGGCGTGCTGTCCTCGGCGCAGCGCTACTCCCGGCCCGTCGAGGCCGCGCGGCCCTGCGGGCACCTCGGAGCGCCCCGTTCCACGGACCGCTGCCCCGCATCCCCCGGCGTGAGGCTGCGGCGCTGCCCAGGCGCCTGGGGGTCCCCCGAGAGCCAGATGCGCCCGTGCCCTGGGGGAGCTTCGGGGGCGTCTGCGAGCGGGTAGCCTGCAGCCAGGGTTGTTCCAGGCGGTGGTAGTGGCTGTGAAGATCGGGACGCGGGGTGATTGAATCGAGAGTGCCTGGGGGAGGAGAGACAGCCAGTAAGTAAGGGGGCTCCCAGGAGCGGTGACATCGGAGCTGAGAGCTGGGTCAGGAAGCCCGTTAGGAGAAGGCTGGGGAAACCGGGCAGAGGGAGCAGCAGGTGCATCCCGGAGCAGAAGGACGCCTCCTGTCCCTGGAGCCCAGGGGTAAGTGTGGGGAGGGAGGCGGAGCCAGCGTTGTGCTGTGAGGTGGACAAGGGATTGAGCGCAGTGCGAAGCCATTGAAGGGTTTTAAACTGGATAGTGACAGCCAGGTTTGCAGTTACAGAGGGCGTCCTGGCTGGCGGTGGACCTGGGGCGAGGTGAGGCAGGAGAGGAAGCAGGGTTGAGTTAGGAGGCCTTTGCACTGGAGAGGTGATGGTGTGGTGGTGGAGGCGGGGTGCTGCTACCAGGGTTCGCTGGTGGGTCGGTGTGAGCAGCAGAGGGGAGAGGACCAGTGTGACTCCTGGCTGTTGTTACAACCACCCAGGTGATAGTGCGTTAACTTAGGTGAGGAGCACTTGAGGGAGGCAAAATCAGGTCTCTGTTGTGGATGTGGTGAGCTTGAGGGGCCTGTGAGCCATCCCACTGGCGATGTTCAGAGGCAGTTGTCTAAGTTGGAGCTGGGAAGATGTGGGGTTGGGGATGCAGATGGGAGTGATCTGCGTCTGTGCCTAAGGCCTGGGACTGGGACGTCTTTTACCCAGCAGTCCTTGATACCAGAACAGTTCAGACAGAGCAGAGATGTTGCTGAGGGGGTGAGAGGTAAAGAGTCATTGTGGCCTGTCCTGGCAGGGAAGCCGACAGCCCAGCCTGCCTCTTGGTACCCAGGACATCCTGCCCTAAAACACTTTTCAGTTTCCCATCCCTGTGCTCGGCCATCAAGAGGGCTTTAAACCATTTGCTACATTTGCTTTGTGCTAGGTGGAAATTTGTACTACATTTTAAAAGACTACCGAAAATAATTAAAATATAGTTTTGTACATGAAGTTTTGTTTGTTTACTTAGAAAATATTTGTAGTCCATCAGAGTGGCCCATCCAGTGGTGATTTAGACAGCTGGTTGAGAGGGATGGGGTGCCAGTCATGGAGCTGCATCCCAGCAGACGCAGGACACCATGCAGTACCGCCCAGCAGTGGGCTGGGGACGTGTGACTGCAGCACTGATGGGTTGGATTTCCTTCTCATTGAAAAAGCAGTGGGGAAAAAGGCAATGTACGTTATTGTGTAGTCAAACAGTAACAGAACGGGAGTGAAAAGTGAGCCTCCCCCACCCGTTCACTAGGAGTTCCACTGCTAACGTTTTGCTTGTTTTAAACCTCTCTGGGCCTGTATATTCTGCAAGGATGTTCCTTTTATGGAGATTTTGTCTGTACAAATAAGATCCCATGTTAGCACGAAAACCTGCTTCAGCCAATTCATTCAGCAGCTGTGTCATGAGAGCTTAGTATGCTGGACATTGGTATGGGTGGTTGGGGGGGGGGGTGGAGGTGGAGGGAGCCCATGATGTCTGGTTGTGAACACGCTGGCCTAGTGGTCAGAGCTAATCCTTTCTGTTTTCATTTATAGGATTTGAAAAACCATCTGCAATCCAGCAACGAGCTATCAAGCAGATAATTAAAGGGAGAGATGTCATCGCACAGTAAGTCTGCTCCCTGGGACAGGGGTCACGTGACAGTTGTAAAGCAAGTCCACTGGACCCTAGAACAACACGTGCTCGAACCGCGTGGGTCCACTTATTCCTGGATCTTTTTCAAGAAATACAGTGAATGTGTTCTCCTTAACATTTGCTTAATAACATTGTCTTTTCTGCAGCTTTGTTGTGAGAATGTAGTATGTACCATCTGAAACAAGTTACTTGCGATGGT